TTAAAAGGACTTAATAATATAAGTAAAATAACATACGGCGTCAGCGGTCTTGGGGTTGTGAACTGGGACATTGCGGCGGAAGCGCTGTAATTGATTGATGCGCGGCGTTGCGTTGAACCTGGACCGACAGATGGCTTGGCGATTGGCCGCCGCCCGGTTGGAACGTTCGGGAGCCATAATCCGCTAAAAGAATCATCGGAAATCAGCGAAAAATCATAAAATGATGGATAGATCATACATCCACTTGAGGACGCGCTGGCGAGAGCGATGTGCGGCCACGGGAGCCATTGTTGGCACCGGAGTTATTGGATTGAACAGCGCCGACGGCCGGGGCACTGCCACCGGTGGGAGCTGCCGCAGACCCATCGGCTGGCCGCAAAATCAATATACATTGTGGTACTACTCAAAAATGACTCACCAGTGGGCTCAGCCGAAGGCTGGAGAGCAGTTGAGGAATCAGGGCATCAAGCTCGTCGCAAGTGTGGCTTACCGAAGCTATAGAAAATAATAGATTAATATGAATAGTGCCTGAATTGAACAGGTACATACCGGGATGTGCCTCCGAAGATGTCATCGGAGCACCGGAGTCAGCAACCACAGAGACAGGTGTTGTGACAATAGGCTGCAGAATTTCGCTCCACATCAGCACACGGTTCAAAACGGGCGGATAACAGAGATGAGAGAATCAAAAGGTATAAATTAATCCGGGCTACTCACCGCATCAGTCGCTCGGTCGACTTCCATAATATCGGGGACCGGCTCACCATGGTTGGCCGAGGAACCGGTGGAAGCCGGCGAAGGAGGACCGCCCGCCGGGGGAGAACCGGAGCCTGAAGAGCCAGATAAACCCGGTGCAGGAGGCATATCGTCGTCGTCGGAGTCGTTGATGACGTACTCAATGCTACGAGGGGTGCGGAACTGGCCAGACCACATTGTTAGACCAAGAATAATAATTAGAAATCGACTCACCGGCCGTGCCCGGTTCTGACGGCTACCCGGTACGATGGAGAGCCCCCTCCAGCGTTATTACGGAAGTGCGCATGCGGTGGAGGCCCCTCGGCTTTAACTTGATCTGTATGCGCCGGATGGCTGCGTTGACCGCCGGGGGCGTTCCAGATCGTCGTCCTTGACATGGCGCGGGACGTCTAGTTCACGACGTTGTTGTACCATGTCAATGCTTGCGCGCAAAACCTTGTTGTTGGCAATGAACTGCGCATAAGGCATCATCTTGGACTATAAAAATGGTCAGTAAATCATCAAACTTGAACTTTAGAAGAAGAAGTACCTGAAAATTGGCCTGATAACGGAAATGCTCGGTAGCATATGCCATATCAGTGAAGGGCATCGTGTTGTTGTAACCAGCCGACACGCGAAGTTGACGCTCGACGACTGGTGGCACACCATGACTGTTGAGCCCGTTGTTCAAGTTGCGAAACACGGGGAGTAGAGAAAGACATTCTGAGCAGTAGGAGTGTATGAGAACTGGGAGTGACGATTAAATCGACAGAGGATAGAGGAAAAACCCCCAGTATTTATACTGAAGTAGCTAGGACCTTACAAATCAGGAGCGTGGGTTCTCGGGATAACGGGGGACCGTTAAGAGCTATGAAAAAGGGAGGGGAATAATCAGTATGACATCAGAGAGATTCTGGAATGAGTCATATAATTATTTTCTCACCTGAAAGCAGTAGTAGAGGCCCAGAGTGTTGTTTCCAAGCCTGAGTAGCGGTAAAAATGACTCCAGAAACAAGATTTGCACATGGATCAAAATGGAACCCTGGGTGAAGAAGCCTCGAAGGCCTGGACTCCTAGACTTAAAATGAAGGAGAGAACCAATATAATGGCCAAGAATATGACTGGCCACACAAGAGAAGCTGACAAACAACAAATTTCCCAAAAAGGAAATTTGAGGAATGCAATCGGTAGCGGGGGGAAACTAAAGTGTGGGTATAGCCCTGAGTCAATTGAACCAGAATTGGTAAATGATACCCCACACCCATGCTATTCAAGGATTAAATGACTCCCACACCCACAATAGAGGGAAAATCAATAGTAAATGAATTACATGGGAATACTACATGAAGAACCCTACAGAGATATGCTAGACGGATGGAAGCGAGCTGTGGGAACCTTATGGAAGACCCCGGCACCATCCATGAAGTGATTAAGACGATAGGGCACAGGAAAAACCAGCCCCACCATGACCATGTGGAATGCTTGACATGAGTCAGTATAAAATATCGGACCTATACAGGAAGGAAGGGGCATCAATAGACTATAAACCTTCAAAATATGGAAGGGAATGAACCAAAACTGACGACACAGGACAAAGTCCTGGAATTGTCAAAATAAGAAGGCGCGTCGATAGACCGGTGTGGCAGCGTGGGACCTTCGGCGACCTCGGAATGTGGTAGAAGCACTCGAGACGATTCTCCCAAGCCCAAGAACGTGAGAATCGGGCCAGAACTGAGCAAATGGCGCACCAGAACCTCGGACAAGCCCATATTTGACTTGTGGGTCGAAGTTGAGGAGATATGGATAGTTGGGGTACATCCCCAGGTATTATTCGTCTGGGACTACGAATTTTAGATGGCTGGCACAGCTAGAACCGTCGTCCAAGACCAGCAAAGCAACGGACAAGTCCGGGAGCAACACTAGCAGAAGCCGGATTTGCGTGAGAAAATTGACCGTGAGAGACTGCCGGAAGCATCGCGAAGGCAGCCGATAGGTACGAGAAAGAGTTCCAGAAGTCCATAGCACCAGAATTGTGGTTCCTAGCCCCAGAGAGAATTGAAGATAAGCGCAAGAAGCAGCCAGCTGGCAGCTGACTCACCCCGAGATCCGTATCACGTAAGCGTGGAGCTGACCGGCACCGGAATCAGAGTGAGCCGATCAGGGTTCAAGGCATATGCAATCCGAGCTGCAACTTATTCCAGATTGTTGGAGTTTAAATCCTACAATATGCAGGAATGTAAGACAAAGCTGATCAATTTTAGATACGCATGATCTCATCAAAATAAAAGTCTAATGTGATGAGATTACTTGAATACTGGCTCAGAAGTGCAAAAATAAAAGCAGATTAGCTTCAGATAAGCCTGTATTATGTGAGATAAGTGGAAAGAAGGTGACATAAACAGAGATAAGGCAGAAGAAAGCAGGAGAATATTCAGAAAATCCAAATGACAAGCCATAAATTATGGAAAAATTCTGGCAAAATATTTGGTGATAATCCTAATATGTTGAAGCAACTACAGGATTATTCAGAGATGAATAGGAATCAGCCATACATTAGGACTATGGAAAATACCTTGGAATGTTCATCTATAGTGTTGCTGAAAAATGTAGGCAATTCTATGCCAGTGAAAAATGTAGCTGGGTTTTGATGAAAAATGTAGTCAATTCAAGTATGATCAGTTGACCGAGGACGGTCAATATTTATGAAAAAGGGAGATGATGAGCTTAGAAATGGAGCACATCTAAAAACTGATAAAAGGGGCTAAATAATTTATTTTAATGCTCCAAATACTTGAGAACATTCCATAATTTCCAGAAGGCTAATTCTATTATTATATTCGTCTAGGCATGTCTAGAGACCTAGAAACATCTAGAAAGGCCAGGAACATCAGTTCTGGACCGCTCTAGTAGCACAGCCACAGAACTCCGGCCTAGGTCTGAGCCAGAACAAGGGTAATCTGTGAGAATGAATTCTAAATTGTGGGTGTAGAACATCCTAATATAGAAGTTTGATTTGGTAGAATATTCTAGAATGCACAGCCACAATGACTCCAACTGAGTCATACTGACTCCAAATGAGTCAGAATGCTTCTTTGTCACATCATTGGTTTAATTGTCACATCATTAGTTATTTTTCTAAACAGTATATAAGGAGCTCAATTGTAGTAGATAGAATAATAGTGAGCACCCCAGGAGACCACTAGTTGTGACACCACCACTGTCACATTAGTTAGTTTTGCTGTGGTATCAAATTGATCTTCCCAGAGGATTACTGAGGGTGACACCACAACTGTCACAACCGGTAGTTTTGCTGAGGATTCCAACTGTTAGTAAACTCTGAGTGATCCTGTGTATAGTAAGACACAGATATAGTGAACTTGTGCATAGTAAGGCACATCCAGTGAATTTGTGTATAGTAAGACACAACCATAGTAAACCCTGTGCATAGTAAGGCACAACCATAGTAAGCCCCAAGTAGATTGGCTATAGTAACAGTCAATTTACTTACCTGGTAGTTGAGTATTGGTACTCTTCTGCTAAAATCCTCAACAAACTTCAAACCTTTTGTTGTTCTTTGTTCATCCTTGAAAGTTCTCTTTAATTACAACACTCAACCTTTAAGTTCCACCAGTAGCACATCTGAATCAGTTAGTCGTTTCCTGCGGCTCGAACCCCGAACACAAACACATACATATTTTGGATTTGATTTAGTTGGTTAGATTTGATATTTAGCTACCTAGCTCATTTCCTCCGTGTATTACCAGAAATGCTGCCAAAGCCAAGAAAGCTATGCGAACAGAAATCGACCGTGCAATTGCTCTCCAGGAAGCTGGTTCCTCAGTGCCTATGCCATACAAACTGTCCTCTGCTGTCTCAAAGCATCACCGGTCCTCCTCTCCCGAATCTCATCCACCAAACAAAAAGAGTCGAAAGGTGGTGGATTCAATGTCGAATGAAAGCAGTGGGAACTCAGAGGTAGAAGATGATGAGGAGGCACGTTTGATTGCCCGTCTGGCTGAGCTTCGGGCGTCAAAAATGGAGAATAAGAGCAAGAACAAGAAGGGCAAGCAGCGTGAGCGGCGTTACAAGCCTGTCAGTGGGAATTCCGAAAGGCTTGATGAGAGCGATGGATAAATAGACTCTATACTGATTCAACTCAAGTACCATTAGCTGTACTACCCTATATTCTCTAGATTCAACTCTATTAAATGTTTTCGGAAACTTGAAACCTGATTTGAATATTAGATAATCAACCTTCCTTGACCATGTCCGTGATGTCGACTGCATCTATAACAAAGCTTGTTACCATATTCGATCTGTTCTTCGATCCACATATGCAACTTCACCAAGTCCTCTTTCTTCTGACTGTGATCATTTCCCTCTACCCACTTTTGCGGCTCCATCAAAACCAGCGAGCAGAAGCATATCGAGGCTCGGCTGAAACGGGCTGGATTCATAGTATCCGAACGCTATTATCTCGTGCCTTTATTTCAAGTGCAGATGAGACTCAGCTCTTTTGGATGGAACAAGCGGACCATGAGCAGATGGCAAAACATTGGTCGTTTCGGGTTTCTAATGATCTCGACTACATCTATCGATACCTCGGAATCTCTCCTAACCAGCCCTTTCACCAGATTTTCCAACCACCCCGGCCTTTACTTGTGACCTCTCGGCTCAACTGCAAATTTTGCCCTGTTGGACACCGAAATATGGTGCCTTCCTTACGACGACGAAGGGCCGCAAATCCCAATTCACAAGTTTGGTTACTCGACACAAGCTTCCAATGGGTTGAGGCAGATCTGCTGGTTGCAACTTGCTCAAAATGCAAATCAGAGTACTATCCTGACCGGGTTACACGACCAGGTCTAACTCGGGGACAGCGAATCGACTGGTTGGAGTGGGACGCACGGTTTATCCGTATTTCTGTTCATGGCATCTGGGTTGATAGAGCTGTTGCCAAAGCGCAAGAAAAGGCGCTTTACCGGTTTCATTCTGGATGGGCCAATTTTGCCGACTGGATCAATGACAGGTTAGAGGAGAATGCACCACACAAATTCAGCTATCGTCAGTCAAAGCGACTATTTCTCGAACATTTCGGAAGGCGACTGCTTGTTGCTCATGGCAAACACTTATATTTCTCTCTGCCGGGAAATGCGAGTGCGCAAACATTAGCTCTGTCAATTAGACAACAAATTGGTCAAGATCAAGGTTTGATTCCAGGAGCATTGGAGCATGGTTGTATGGATTGTACTCATATCAAACGATATCGATCTGATTTGCCAGAGACGCTCGTTGACGGCCAGAGTACTGATGTCGCTGGGCTGATAAACTTGGAGGTAAGAACATTTGATAAAACTTTCTACCATCTATTGACCGAATTCAGCTGGACGCCAACAATGCCAACCCTGACACACTGCCTGCTAACCTGCCCGATGAAGTTTCAAATCAAAATGCGCCCCCAGCAGGAGAACCTCGCGGTTATGTACGGATGATGGTCATGGACGGAAAGACAATCACGCACAAGGTAAATGCAACTGAAAAGTGCTATAAACGCTTATGCACCTATTCAGAAATGTGCTTTATTTGCCTGTAATAATCCTCTGGTCAATTACAAGAATGGACGTTTCTGTCAAGACCATCTTCTGGAGGGACGCAAATGCGGTATCGTTTCCTGCGGGGAGCATGTGAGCTCTGTCGACTCTCTCACGTGCAATAAGCCGGAGCATATGGCTTGGTATCGACGGTTTGATGAACGATTTCATCTTTTATCTTATCCCGGAGTCAAACGTGTTATTCGAAGACAAAATATCGCGTCTGAAACTGGGGAAGACGGTGGTGGGCCAACACTCGAAATCAGCCTCCCTGAGCTGGACGGCATCCCCTGGAACAAAGTCGAACATACATTCCGGGCCAGAACAACTTACTGCTTGGAAACCGCTCAATGGGCCTGTGGATATCCAATTGGCTGGACAAAATGCTATCGGGCAGAGAGTCCTTCTGCTATTCTGGCTTTTATCGACTATTTATGGGATGGAAATAGTGCTGCCCGACCTGGTTTCATTGTTTATGACAAGGCTTGCGAGCTCCTTCGTCATATTGTGACCCAGAATGCTCGGAGTGACTGGATCGAGACAACCAAGTTTATCGTCGACGCTTGGCACTACATCGGGCACCGAGCGACAGATATTCTCTGTCGAGTAAGATGTAACCCGGCGCCAATGGATGGATCCCAGCCCGATCTTGTTCTGGTAGAAGAGGATGACCATGGTGGTCAGCATCAAACCCGAGCGTTCAATACCGAAACAGCTGAACAGCTTAATTCATGGCTGAATGGCTTTGAATCTCAATTGCGACAGATGACAGACGTGAACTATGACTTTTATGTCCACGTTTTGATGCTCCTCTACAGTGAGACGGTGAATGAACGGATTGAGAGGCGTGGGACGAGAGCTGGGGGAAGGATTTTTTGAAGTTGTTGATGGAGTCACTGAGTTAGGTGTGTATTAGAGCTCTGTACTCCATGTGAATCGAGACCAACACTTATCTGACTTAAAAATGGAAAAGAGCTGTCGAAAAGAGCTGTCTACTTCTCATGCTTAGTGAAATTGGGCCGCAGAAGAACTCCTCCAGACTCTCGCTGTCTGTCGTGAACAGGCGCTTGTGGCTGGTAAGCAAGTGCTCCTTGAATTGGAGCGCTCGTGTGGGCAGCGATACACCCTGCGAGTCATTGCGCAACCATTAGTTGGCAGTTACGAGTAACGGAGAAAGACGCACCGCTCGCCAATGTTGTCACGGTGCCTTGGCAAATCCGATGGGCAGTGGGCACCCGCAGGTCGTCGTGCAGCCCGCATACTGGCACGGAAACCGTACAAGCAAAAAATTTGGTAAAGTCCAAGGTGTAGCACCTGTTAAGCAGCATTTCCGTGTAGCACGTACTATCTGCAGGACTGAAATGCCAATGGTGTAGCACCATAGACTGGTAATTCAGCGTAGCGCTTACTAACCAGAAGGCATCAATTGTACTCCCTTATGAGCACTGGCCAATGTCATTCATTGCACACAGAATGGAGTGGCCACTCCTTAACGTGTTGCAACAGATCAACAATCAGCTTGACTCGAAACCAATCTGGGGACACCAGAACGGAAGAGAGTGAGAAAGCCCAAGTTGCTCTGCATGGCCTTATATACTCAACCATTGTGCCTGTGGAAGGACCAGTGTAAATGCTTGGTTGTTCGTGCTTTGATGCACACTAAAGGCTTTGACGCGCACTCGTCAAAGCGCACTCATCAAAGCACGGGTTCGCGTTTTGCTTGGGCCATGTGATCGTGAGGAGGCAATGCGCATGTTGGCTTTGACCAGACCTGAACAAATAATGCGCCGTGTGGGACCAAGCTCCAACTGCCTATAAAAACCCAGTAACTTGGGTGTCTTTCACTGCACCCTTCCCACTGCACTCTCTCCAAAGCTTCAGTTACATTGACTACCCATTCCCATGACGCCGCAAGCCATCCCCAACACGACTTCGGAAAGCAAAAGCCTCCACGGCTACTCACCCCGCAAAGAAGCGTCCTGGGGCAGTCATGCCACCATACGAGCTTTCAAAGAAGAACGAGGGCCGCTACCTCCGTGGGTGGAAACGTGAAATCAATCGACTGTATGATAAGAAGAGAACTAGTGCGTGAAAGTGTCTTTCAAATTATCCTATCTAACAAGAAGCAGTCGTCATTCCCCAGTACAGTGCCAAACGTGCATTTGAAGGCCGCCAGTAGTTGAAGTCCAAGACACCAATGTCCGAACTTGACTACACTTCCGACACACTTGCCGCTGGTGTCTACGAGTTTTTGAGTGCTGAAGGAGTACCCATGGTTGTGGTAGCAGTCAACGCTTGCACTAGTGTATTTGCGGTGTGTCTACATTCCTTTACTGAACTTTATAATGACATGTATTGATATCAGGACAAAGCATACAATACCTGCATGCAGTTTTATGAAGCATCGAGAATCCCCGATCCAACGCGCGCAGGTGCTGATGGAAAACGCAGCAATCCCGAGAACTATATAAATGAAGAAGGAACGGCAAAGGGGGTGGCAAAGCTTTCAGCAGTCTGGAATGCTGTTGGGCACCCGGTGCGAAAACAGTCACTATGTCTGTCTATTTACTAACATGAGCCTACAGCATGACCAGCCAGTTGCGGTAAAGGACATTGTTGGCACAGGCTACAAACTGGCAGCGGCTGCACAACTTGCCTTAAATCTACGACCACTTCAAGCCAAGAAGAATCAACTCTTCCAGCGTGTGGACCCGTATGCCTACGCTAGCTCTATTCAAGCTGGGCAGAAGATGGACGAGTTGCGGCCGGATATACGCAACTTGCGCCGAGACGATCTCGCCGTAATGGAAGGTCGAGAAATTATGTGGCAACGACGCAGTGCCAAGCATAAGGACTTGTCGGATCGCCCTGAGATGTGGGCCATCTTGAAGGCACTTTATGGCGACAAGAACGCGAAAGGCGGCGTGTTGAACATACCCGGGCTTGGGCTGCGAGTGCGTTATGGGCATAGGGACATTGTCATGATTCGGGGTCGTTTGCTTGAGCATTGGGTCGAGGATTGGTCAGGTGGTCAACGAGTGGCCATTGCTAATTTCACCCACGACACTTACTGGAAGTTTCTTGGTATGCTGCCACCAAATCCTTTAGAAACAGTACAAGAGATGGAAGATGAGGATATATAATTATATAGTACATACACAAAATTAAGAATCTACTGCTCCGTTCTCCACTGTGTCTGTGCCAAATGTGGCCGTGAAGTTGCCGACCGTGGCTACAAGGTCGGCGACCTTGAGGCCAAGGGTCACCGACTGAGGTTGCAAGGTCGCCGGCTGAGGTGGCAAGGTCACCGACTAAGGTCGCGGAATCGGCGACCTTGAGGCCGGGGGTCACCGATTGGAGAGAGGGAGATGGCTTGGGGAGTTGCCGACTAGGATGCTAAAGTCGCTGACTGTGCAAAGGGGGTCGGCGACTGGAGTGCAAGAGTCGCCGATTGCGGACCGAGAATCGCCAACTGAAGGCTTCAAGCAAAGCCGCTGACTGCAGGGTGGCGGTCGCAGACTATCGCCTGGGGGTCACCGACTGTCCCTTGGGGTCACTGACAGTCGCTGGTTTTGGTGGACAGTTGGCGACTGCGGCCATGGAGGTACGCGGTCAGCGAAGCTTCGGCGGATAAGAGCACAAGGGTCGCCGACTCTGACCCTTGCAGTCGCTGACTGTCGCCGACTGGTGTGACCGCGTTATTTCGCGGCGTATTACTGGAAAGTGTATTCGCTGCTTTGGTCCCTACAAGGAAACATGTGGTTTCTGTACCTACGTACATGCCCCCCCAACCATATACACTACAGATAAGTGCAGATGGCAATTGTTGCAAATACTGATGTGCATGACACCAGCATCTCCTGGAGCAACCTATACCCAGGACTGAGGAAATTTCTTGAAGTTATTTGGACTCCAGCGGAGTCCGGCCCAGGAGGATTTGGAACACCATGGTCTATTTAAAACATCAGAGAGGATCTGATACATTACACCCTCTGCTTGCCTTGCGCACCGTCAAGGGTTGCATGAGCAGCATCTAGTTTATAGCTGTCTTCTGTATCAGGACATAAAATCCAGAATATTTGTTAATAATAGATGCATCTCACTTAAGCCTCAATATTTTTCAAAAGAAATATTATTACCTGGATTTTTCTCTTAATATATATATATAATAGCCATTTTTTCACTTATCTCTGATATATTAGGTACATTGTTGCTGCTGGACGTTGCAGATTTGGTCTTATATTTTGTGGCACATTTGCCGTATTTATTTGCTACAGATTATGGTTATAAAATGGTCTGTTGATATTAGCTTTGACTTATATCCTATCTGAGAACTTGAAATGTGATCCCATTACTTGCAAATCAAGTCTACTTTCTTTAAGTTTTATTTTCCATCTGTTCAAGTTATTAAACATGTAAATTGTTATTGTCCCTGGTATGAACTGTATGAGTTGTGCCAAGTACTAGGATTATTTACATTTGTTACCAATAAAATAATATGTCTTGAACATGCATATATGACTTTTGGTTTACCATACTCTGGGAATACTGTCCAAAATATTTTCTAGGCAAGCTGTTTTCTTTTGTAAGTATTTTGGGATTTTAAAGCAAGAGTCTCTTTGACGTGAGAGCGTGACAGCGGCATGAGTGATGCGGTGGTCGTCACAAATCAGGGCACTTTCGGTTTGGTCACTCCCGGTCGGTATAAGCAAAACTGATAAATCAGTTTGTGAACTTGAACCAGATCTAAAAATGCTCAAAGGGACGCGTTCCTTCCCCCTGGGACAACAAGAGGTCAATACCTACTGGGACTTTCAATCGAGTCATATTCTCACCTGCCTTGCTGCTCATACTGTAGATATACCAGGCTCTCAAAGAACTCAACGAATCGGGCTTCAAATTGCCTGCCCATTTCGACCGCTCTGGTCCGGTTGCTGATGTGCGCCTCGGCTGGCCGCTTGGCGAGAAACAACGGGCCGCGATAGTTGAATGGGCAGAAGAGAACGACTGCCAATTTCTGGGTGTTGACGGCCATGTCAACCCCTCGCCTCACTGCGTATTGTGTCGGCGGCCACTTCGCCGCGCTCCGTGGGATTTATCGGCAGCGTGAAAGCGGTACATCAGCTGGAGGAGCCTGGCTCATACACAGCGTTGGCCATACTATGGGTCGACAGAAACGCGACCAGGCCGGAAGACCGATACACTGAGGAGCAGTGTTTGAAGGTTGCGAAGAGACTGAGATTCGAAGGGCTCCCGAAGTGGTATTTGGCTCTGGATTATGTCGAGTGCGTTATTCTCTCTGTTTGTGCCACGCTCTGATCATGGATCGTGGCCCCACAGCCAGATCTTCTAGTTGCTCTCAGCCTTGAATACCCTTGCCAGTGATCCATCCACCTCAGACATGTTTGCTTCCCTTACTAGTAGTGTTGACTTCGAGCTTAACAAGAGTCTCAAGTTCAAACTCACTCTTTCAAGTTGCTGATTCACGACTTTCGACACTTTTAAGACACATGTTGTTTCCTTGACAAGTCTGAATCAAGGTTGGTGTCGAGAATAAAGCTTTATTCTCGATGGTCTACTTGAAAGGTTCTATAAAGAGCCTTGTGTCATTGATGTCAACCTAAAAACTGGCCAGTTGGGTGTATCAAGTGGCAGTGGAGAACCGGACGAGAGCAGTCGAAATGGGTAGATATTACTAGGCCCTCGTAGATAATTTGAAGCCCGATTCGTTGAGTTCTTGGAGAGCTTGGTATATCTACTTACAGCATGAGCAGGAAGGCAGGTGAGAATGACTCGACTGAAATTCCCAGTAGGTATTGACCTCTCCCAGAAGGAACATGTCCCCTTGAGCATCTCTGGTTGGTTGGGGCGGAGACGCGTGAGTCACACGACACGTTATCGTGTCGGCAGAAAATTGATCACAAATTTCAATCTAACGGTGACGAGTTCTTATACTTCCTTAGAGGCGAAATATGTGTGTGGAATGGTCGGAGCAATCGCTAGACTGTAGACAGCAATGTGATATGTCGCAGGAGTTGTGACAAAAGACATTAACCGCTTCAAGTTTGGTTAAATCAGCGACTTGTACGACACGAAAGACACACTCGATGCATTCCATCGTAGGATACCATTTCGGCAACCCCTCGAAGCCGAGCAGCTTTGCGATCTGCTTGCACTCGCGCGCCGTGTAGCGGTCCTCCGGGATAACCGAGTTGGTGTCGACCCAGAACAGGGTCACCACGCCTTGCAGTGAGTAAACATAGTCCACGCCGCCCTCGATGGCCAGCGAGGCGTGCATAGCGATTGCCGGAAAAATACACGGTGCGTTTGCGGTCGATGTTTTGGTTCATGTCCCGTGATGCGCACTCTTTCTTCGTGGCCCACTCCACAATTATGTCCGTCTGCTTCTCACCCAGCACCCAGCCGAGCCTCAGGTCCTGCTTTCGGCCGGGAAGGCAGGGCGACTCGTGTGGGAAGTTCGAAACCAGCTTGCTCTAGTATTCGGAGACCTGCAAAAAGCTTCCCCAAGTCAGCTTGAAGACAGGTGCCTTTTACTCCTGACCTCATGGCGGTAGTCCTCTGTCTCTGTCTCTGTGTCTGTGTCTGAATCTGACTCCGACGACGACGGATTGTCACATTCGTCGAGTTCTGGAGTGCCTAGAGGGCGCGGGGTCATTAGAAGGACGTGATGGGGGAACGAAAAAACGCAGACAATGAGGTTGTGTCAAGGCAAGAAACGTGTACATCACGTGCAGCACCTCTGAAGCGGCGCGACCAGACAACGAACCTCAGGACAATTTGAATTCCTTACTCTGCAACAGATACAGGCGGCAGAAAAAAGAGTGGACTGGCCGGTTGGATGGATCAAGCCCTCTTCGTACTGGTAATAGTATTCATCGAAGGTAAAGACGCCCATTATAACACGGGTGATTCAAGCCACTTCAAACTTCAGACCAGTCAACCCCGAAGGCTCTCCACCCCCGCGAGCTTCAAATCCAATTGCGTCTCGCGATCGTCTCCATTCCGAAATCCAGCTCATTATCGATGCCAGTCTCTGCACTGCTAAGATGCCTGTATTCGCTGTGCCCTCACTAAGTAGCTACTGGAGATGATGTCAGATTATTTTTGGACCGATAGAAGACAACACACAGATATCAGAACAGTGATAACCAGGCCCAACTGCAATGGGTTGCGACGGTGTGCTTTGGATCGTCACGCCAGGCGCAGACATCGTTGCATAGAGCCAGGAATCACCTACAGAGTCAGCACTCTTAGCGCCGACAACCGAACAAAAAAAAACACGAACGTTCGCCGTTGGCAAAGAACAGGTTGGAAGTGGGTACATTCCAGCCAGCGTATAGCGTATTGGTGCGATCAACATGCACATTCGGAGGGGTGGGGATTGACGGAGGTCGTAAATAGGCTGGAGAGACAAGAGAAGGGACGCCTGATGGGGCCGATTCTTGCAAAAAGCCGAGTTCGTTGCATCTGGATCAGTGGATTGAGAATGGGGGTATCAAATGGAAGGGAAAATCCAGAACCCTGAGATAGCTTGAGAAGGAACGAAAGCAACAGATATAGCCACTTACAGGATCTGAAAGCATTGTTGACGGATGTGTCAGCCCAATAGGGCCGAGAAGTGTCGTAGCTTCCCAAACACTCTCTGGAGCCTGAGCTCATTTTAGCCTCTGGGAAATACAAGAACAAAGCACCGACTCTGAGTCACGGTCGCCACAAACTAAGGGAATGTCAACCGGGATATGCATTCAAGGAAGAAGCACGGACTGTGAGGGTAATAAGTAATAAGTATTGCGCCAGTATGATGACCATGCATTTAATGCATGATCTAAACCCCAACCACCAGACGGAGCGCCTGGGCCGATGGCTGGAGACAGGTGTTGCCAGTCCCAGAGATTGATGCGGAGCGAGGCAGCCACGTCATCAAGATGCCCGTGCTGAAGTGTGTAGACGCAGACTTTTGACGCTCAAATCAGGAAGCGGGTTACTTTGAGATACGTAAGTCGCTGTGATAGAGGAGGGAAACAGATACCTGAGGCCATAGAATCGATGCTCTACAACAACACCGGCGCCACGTTCTTCCTCAGCGATTTGCCCACTGATCCTCGAAGTAGTCAAATAGCCAGAGAAATCTGACGAGAGCAGTCAACAACAGGGGACTCGGAGATGGACCGAAGTTACGCACTGGCCGCACTGACCTCTCCCGGTGTGAGCAAGACGATCGGACCACCTGATGAGGCGTTGCCTAAACTATACTAGTACAAATAATCTTGCCCTGTTCATAAAATTCCCAGATGTGCCAGTATCGTTGCGTGAATGTGCCCAAAGAGGGCTAAACACAGGCCATCAGAATATACACCCGCTCCGAAGAGCACGTTGTTGTGGTCGATGAGCTGTTGGAAGGTGAAAGTGGTGCCATATGGCGGCAACAAGGTCCCGTTTTTGCTGAAAACCGGTCCAGTTTGCACTACAGGCACGACAGGGACTGTGGCTTTGCGAGTGAAATTGGCGTGCGGTCGCCCGTCTGATAGGTAGGCGTGAGCGACGGACAAGAATGCAAGGGCCGAGAGCTGGAGAAGCATGTTGTCACTGGACTGTTTATATGTAGCGGAAAAAATTTCTCCGTATTATTTGAAGAAGTTCGTATGGCGTAACTGCGTTGCGTTGAGAATGGTACAACCCCCAGGTGGCCCATGGCCAATAGCGGACATGCCCGATTTGCCACTCATTTAGCGAGATGTTAGGATATTTGAGGGAGTAAAGAGCCTTGGTTTGTGTTGCAGCACATCACATGCATATGAGCAGGAAGGCCTGAATTTGATGCTAAATCCTTCCTGTAGGATAACGACGTAAAGAGGGGACCCGGAGATGGTTCGAAGTTGTCTACATCGTCGTGCCGATTTGGAAAGGTTTGGTCCGTGATTGGCACGTGACGTTGGCTTCGACGTTGTTGTTTTCGTTTACAGTATCCTCGCACGGTCACTGGCACCAGGCACTCACTAACGACCCCGCGCCTTCTACGCGCTACGCACCCGACACTCACTCCAGAACTCAATGAATGTAAATCAATCCGACTCCGAGTCGGAAGCCTCGAACTGTGTCGAGCTTCGTCATTGCCCGTTCAAGTTGAACCCTGCTCTATCTCCTGATGGGCCGCTCTGTCTCATTCAGTCCTACCAAATGTAAACCCCGCCCGCTCTCCTACGTTGCCGACACACTCCCGTGCCGAAGCCGAAGATCTTGGTGCATAGGTATGGATTTTCTCCTGCAAGTGCAGACACTGCCAGTGACGCGGAGAGCCGTCGGATTGGAATGCTGTAACATTTATCTCAATAACGTCAACTTGAGGTAGTGGGTAGGTAAAGTACTGTCCACGTCTCCCCGCATTAATATTGGAAGTTAACTTCGTCCAAATCATACCCGCAGACCTGTATGCCCGGAAGGCCGCGCAGGTGCATACTTCAAGGCAACGTGCAAACGTGAGCCGCTGCTCCAGGCTGGTTGGTATTTGTACGGCATCAAGCCTCAAGCACGTGTACTACACCACCTGCCACACCATGTCCAACACGGAATATGAGGATACTAAAACTTCGTTCCCCGTCACCGACCACGAGGTCAGTGCTCATATAAGGACTATCGTCATTCAAGCTAACTCGTCCTGATAGTTTTTCGCAGCGCTTGCGGAGCTCGAGCGATCAGGCTTTCAACTTCCCGCACGTTTCGACCCACCTTCAGGTAGAGCAGCTGATATGCGTCTTGGCTGGCCGCTCGGCGAAAAGCAGAGAGACATGATCGTTGAGTGGGCAACGAAGAACGGGTACGCCGAGCGGGACGTAGACCACAGCGTTGACAGGTTCCTCACTGCATATTCTTCTGGCGGACGCTTTGCAAACTGGATGCGAATTTCCGGCGGAGTATATGGCGTCTACACACTGGACGATGGGAGCTACACAGCCATGCCCCTGTTCTGGGTCGACAGAAACTCGACCGTCAAGGAGGACCGGTACACGGAGCGCGAGTGCATGAAGGTGGCGAGGATGCTTGGCTTTGAGGGGCTGCCGAGGTGGTACCTTTCGGTAACCTACAACGAGTGTGTCTTTCCGTTTTTGTACTTACTCGCAGGCTCTGATTGCCACAGCCGTTAGTCATCGCGTCCTGACTTGCTCTGCTATCGAATTCGTATCTTGTTTTGCCTGTAATCTTGCTTCATAACTCAATTTATAAGCTTCTCAGAGAAGGCAGTGGTGGGCCCAAGTTGAAGCTCAGTTGCACGTCAGATTCAGAGACAAGGTTGTATCCCAACCGCAAGAGAGCGGTGCAGGAAGCAGCGCATAATAAGGAAAAGGCCTCGCTCGTGTTGTGGTGGTCAAGTAACAAGGTTTTTGCTCCCGTGCACGTGACTCGGACTTGTGATCCTTCGTTGCTGGGAACATCTCGACATCTCCGAACTCCCATCCTCCGTCTCTCCGTCCACATGCATAAGCAACAAGCGGTCGCCAGCATCCCGAACACGCAACGCATATGCATCATTTCAAGTTCTAGCACCCAATGCTATTGGCGTTTTCCACAGCCCTTTCTCTTTCACTTCGACCATGGCTGGTCTGCACCGCTGGCCGGTACCTTTTCTTCTCATTCTTTCCCTTGCGGCGCGGGTTCTGGGTGATTTCATTGTGGATGACTTGTGCGTTAAGAGCTCTTCTCTGGTCCCGATGCTGAACAGGATGTAGCACGAAGCCCGCGCGGACATGTGAGCCGTTCCTCCTGCAGTGGCAGGGCGGCATAAGTCAGTACAATCACAATGCAGTTATATAATAAGAGACTGAAGTGTGGTTGGCCAGCGCCATGGACATTGGTGCGGCATTCGTGACCTTCTTTCATTCACGCTGACTATCCTCTCAGCGCATCCTCGACGCACAAACTTTAAACGTCATCGACGACTTTGGGAGCACGAAAGAGACGGCCTTCACATGGACGGTCGACGTTTCGGCTGGTGTGTCTGCGACTCACCTTGAAGTTAGTGTTAGCTGTAGTGTTGATGCAGCATAGGCCATAGTGTGTTAGTGCAGGTGCAGGACGCGACGGGGAAAACGGCAGAGTCAAAGCCGTTGGCAGTGCAGGCTGGATGTAAGTCCGAGTGATACTTGGGAAAGAGGTGCTAACGAAGAACAGCGGCTGGCTGCAGAGCATCAAAAACGAGTACGCGGAGTACTGTGGCTAGCACGACCAGTAAGCCCACCACCACCACGAAAGCTGCGGAGAGCACCAAGACGATGTGAGTTTCGCGAGCGGAATTCAAATTTTTGCTGGCTCATTCAAGTTGTTATTAGTACATTCCAGCCGAGTTGGTCGTTTATTGTCGAGCAACCAGCAGCATCTACCAACACACCGACGAATTCTAGTTCACGATCATCCAACTCAACAACGGCGCCTTTCCAGTGAATAAAACTGCACCCTTCTCGCTCTGCGTGCTGATTTCTGCACAGATCTAGTCAGGAACGGGAACCCGATGCATCCGCCAGCGCTGCTGCTGTGCCGGTCATAGGCGCTGCCAGTGTTGCCGCACCAAACGTCGGGCTGATATTAGGGCTGCTGGTCCCTGGAGTGGCGCTCCTTGTTTTCATGGTTGTTTTCATTTCGCGGAGGCGGCGAGAAAGAAGGGATGTCGAGCATGTTGGCGGTGAGTTGGGCAACTGTTCTCTCGTTTCTTCACTTAGTATTGCTGCAGATCCGCAAATGAGCCCAGTCTGGTATGCCCGGCCGGGATACGGCTTTGCCTCCGCGCCAACTGCCACTACTTCCGATGCGCTGAGCTACAGCACTTTCCAAGCACAAGCACAAGCGACATCGCAGTCGTCTACTTCGATTTCGCGGGCCGATATTCCGAGCTCTCGCTACCGTGACTCGCTGTCAACGCACGTGAGCACCTTATCGTCTGCGAGCGGGGATCTGGGGGCGCGGGTACAGCGCGGTGTTGGTGAGCTGGAGAGGCAAACGCAGTTGAGCGCGTTTCGGTTCCCGTCTGCGGGATACTGACTGTGGGCGAGAGGTGTTTGAGTATAATAAGTACTCAGGTCCTGTTTTACTCATTTTCATGAGCATGGCGGGTCTTTTTACAATCTCAGATGCCCTTTTATATGTTACATGTTTAACTCATCTCATCACAACTTGAACTTTCTGCAATGAATTGGACCCGGAGAACTCCAGTATAAATTCAAGCTTCAAGTTAGCTTCAAGCTTCATGAACTAGGATGCCAAGAACCCGGCTGTTACACTGAGTAGGTCCATATGACTCGACTACTAGTACTTGAAAGCCTCTTCCTGCCGTCTGAACTTTCAAACCGGTCCTTCGCCATACTTCTGTCTGTGATGTCAGCGCTATGTTCGTCTGTTTACTTGAAATCCACTTACAGGGTCATTTCTTTGGACGTTGTACTGCCTCGGAGACCCAGAAATCCTTGCTTTTGACTCTTGAAACAGAGATTGGACAGCGAGGATAACATGGTGCTCGATCCAATCTATCTGTTTTTGTCTGCGTCGGGCACCCCATCTACTGAGAATTGGATACCTAGCAAACCTGAACAATAAATGTTGGAAATGTTTGGCTAGACTATTGTCATTGCCTGCAAGGAAGACATTATCCAATGATACTTGAGACTCAACAATCCCATCCCAACGCATACAAGTCCTCCAAGCCCTGCCACGGCGAAGTTATTTTCTGCAAATCCGGCTCAGGCGGGTATATCAACTCGACCTCAATGTTTCCCTGGGATTGCCTAACCTGGTCTGCAATTCCAAACGATCGTTCACGTGTCCAATGTACTTGCAATCGGCGCAACTTGTTATTTGTCTCCTTCCGTGCGTTCAAAAAGTCGACCAGGTTCAACTCAGTGAATGACGTGCAGTTCCGAAAGACGATCTTCTCTAACGACTGGAGCGCGGAATATCCGCCCTTGTCCGTAGGGAAGAATGCTTTGAGTACTTGATTGTCGACGAGCGCTCGTGAGGAGGACCACACCGAGTGCTCGGATGTGAGCATCAAGACATGCAATTGCTCAGGGACCATATGGAGGAATTCTAAGAGACTATCTCGGTTGGGATAGATGTCGGCGTCGACCTCACAAATATCGAGTTCTCTGGAGTTGACCAAGAGCGCACCCAACGGTTCTAGTGAATTGGCGATATTTCTGTGTCGACTGCCATGCGCTTGACATCGGAAATCTTGCAGTTTAGGCAGCGCTAATGCTTGCGAAAGCTCTTGTAATGTTATATCAATGCTCCCAACGAGTATTAGATGGAACACGACCAAAGAGCGATGCTCTACCCTCATCTGTTTATGTGGGTCATCAGACTCGTCATGATCCTCTCGTACCCACAGTCGAAAAAAAGCGAGCTTGACACAAAGTGAGAGTATTTCGACCGCATTAGAGGTAGTTATAGACCAGACTCTTTCGACCGCGAGGTCGACAATATTTTCCCATCGCTGTGGGAGGATCCCAAGAGGGATGTCGAACAAAACTACGCGACGAAGGTGAGGGGCTTGCAAGAGGTGTACAGATTCCCAAGAGGTCAGGTACCCGTGAGGAACCAAGGTTCCGTCATCCGAGTCCCCGTGGGTTGGCTGGACAAGCACAGATTCGAGTTGAGGAACTTGATCGAGCGTCAACCTCTGCAAGGGCATCAAAACGTTAGGAGGCCCTTGGATTGCAAAATGCGCCCAGTGGTGGGCATGGGATATAAGAATATCCATCAGTTCTTGGCCGCGCCAGCGTGTGCTGGAGACGGAGAGGCTCAAGGGGCACTGATTGGCAAATGCTAACCAATATTTGACGCCTTCAAGTCGGCGAGTGATTTTCTCTGAGAGCGCGACAGAGACGGAGTTAGAGGATTGGGTGGGCAGATGAATGTGGAGGGAGCTCCACAGAGCAGGTGATGACTGCACCAGCCGCCTCCAACCACTGCAAACGCGAGTGAGCAACAGCGGCGCCTCCCTCGTGCTCATCACGCAATTTCCCCGATTCGGCAAACATTCGAGAAAGACTCGATGTAATATTTCGACGGGGACGCGACGGATGGGGGAGAGCAAGGCGCGATGAGAGTCGATAAAGCTCTTCAAAGTTGCGCGCTCCGTTTCCAATTCAGCGATCTGTTCCGACAACTGAATGAAGCGGCTCGTCGGCTGAGCAAGGAGAGAGTGGATGTGTGCTATTTCTGAGTCGCTTGGACTGTAGTTGGTACCTAGCTTGGAAGAAGGAAAGCGAGACATGCCGATGATGGGATGGCCTCCGAGTTGGAGGAATGAGAGCCGCGAACATGTGATCGAGTCACGTTAGTCACACAAGCGTGTCGTTCGTTCAACTTGTCAGACTCAGAAACTGATGCTAAAAGTATTATCTCTTGGGGAACCGAGAATTCTAGCACTGGCACAATGTACCAACGTGGCTTCTGATTACTAAACGGCACCGTCCTGCGGTCCTATTTCTTGTTCTTCAACATCCATGTCAAGAAGCCCATAACTATGCATGAGCGACGACCATCTGTCGTCGATTGTCTGATTAGATCCGCCGTTACTCGTCATCCCATTGTTGGTGTAATATATACTGGGCTGAATCCCGTGTGTTTGAAGACCGTGCTGAACAGGGTCTGGCGCTTCGCGAAAAAGTCCCTCCCAGCTGTATTGTTGCGTCGCACGCAATGGTGCAGAGTCATATGCAAGTGTTTCGAGGGAAGGATGGAGAGGGGACGATGTTTGAAGTTGATGTGAAGTTGATGAAAAGGCTGTTACCGGACTAGTATGGAGTATCGCTTGTCGCGAACCAGTCTCTTGTTGCAAAGGTTGGTGATGCGTCGAGACTGGAGTCGGTGTTGCCAACGGTGGAGAACGGGAGCGAACCACAGGCTTTGCTCGGCCACCAAACACCGCAATCTCATCATCAGGGAAGATTGTGGGCGGCTCACCAGCGTAAGTCTGAGTGTGTCGCGCTTGATATGCCTTGACGAGCATACCTTGCAGAACCGGCTGAGGAATCATGAGATCAACATGCAGAGCTGAGACATCGACCCACCAGTGCTCTTGCGGCTCGACTGTTTGTTTGTGCCGCTTCGCGAAACATTCCACAGGCGGTTTGGAAAACGGGCCAAGGCTCTGGTTCGAGTTTCCGACCACCGTTGCCGGTTTCTAGACGGCTTCCGCGGATTGCCATTGTCCCGACCACCACTGCCGCGGTAAAGGCAAAGCTCCATATCCGCCATACGCGGGCAACGATTCCCGGGTTCTTTGTGAACTGCTTCAAAGTGTGGATTAGCACGTTACAAGCCGATTTGTATGCGGCAAACACGCTCAGAGAATATGGGCTAGATAATGGTGAAGAAGTGTGCGACATCATGGCCTGCGCAAAGTAGGATCGATGCAAAAAGAGTGACGCTACCCATTAGTTGGCATCATGATTACAGCTTATCAACACGCATACCCAAGTCAAGATAATGCCCTCTCACAAAGCTGGATGAATTTTCAACAAGAGATCAATAACTGCAAAGGAAGGAGTTACTTGTTCATCGCTACTGCTGTCCTGTCTTCGCCAAGGGTAGGATCCGGACGAGCAAGCGTCCGTATTTTAGCGTCAAGGTCCAAAACGGCGTTATAATTCGGCGGCTTTACCCCAAGTGTTGCGCGTACAATCAACAACAGCACAGATTGTGAGATATGATGACCCCAAATACCCACTGCAGGTCGATTTACCGAGACATAAAAAGGAATAAAGGCGTACATCCGATTGGGGGCCCACCACCGTTGAATAAGGCTTCTTCCTCCTCGGTCGGAATCTTACAGTCGACGTAAACCTGCAGAATCGATGGTGGTCGTCCCGTGATCAAACTTTGCCAAAGCACCGCGATTAGCAAATTCCAGAAGTATACTCGTCGTTCATAGGCCTCACGACCAGAAAAGCCCCACATAGATGGATCAATGTCTGTGGACCTTCACATTACAATCCCTCGACCAGTGGAAACGCACGCAACCCAGTCTATCGAGCACATTGAGAAGATGATACTGAAGAAAGCAAAGGAGACTGACTCGTAATGCGACTTGAGTCGCCAGGTCCAGATTGATGTAAGAAGCCTCTAAGTTAGCCTCCTTCCCGCTCATGCCATTGTAGATGCTCATCAGGTGCAGTGTCTGAAAAGATGATGGTCAGAAAAGGAAATATTCGAGCAATAAAATCGGTACCTTGACCGTAACCACCGATGGCTTAGTTAATATGCTCTGCAGGCCGAGAGCAGCACGCGCCAGCCGGTAATAATGTTGTGCTTCTAAGTTATAGGGCTGCATATTGAGGTCTACGAGTGCTCCGATTCCAAGGGTGACAAGCAGGACAGCAAGCTCGTGTGGTCCGTAATCCACGAGCACCCCATTTTGATGATATATCGCCGGTATGAGCTCTTCAATAAGTTGTCTCCTGGAGACAATATGAAACATCCATGATAAGTGCTCGAGAAAAGTCTCGCAAAGGAATATAGCGCGGTCAATAGGTGGCAGAAAGGCTTCAATCATCTCCTTGACCGGGTTGTGGGGGATTCCCGGCGGTGTGAAAGGAAAGAATGTGACGAATTGGTTGATTTCGGGTGGGAGATAGGACGGGTCTAGCTCGCGCAGAGAGAGCGGCGCGGATTTTGGGACGAACGACGCCTCAAGCCCTTTTGCTTTCTGCATAATATGAGGAAAAGGATGTAGCCTCGAATGGAGCTTACTAAAAGTAGACTCTGGAAAGAAATTTTAGCGTTAAGCAAGCGGCCTTGAAGCAAAAGGGCGTACCTCAGCGCCACCAGCGGGCCCAAAGAAGCGTGAGCCACCATCTTGGTCAATATGAAGCGACCCAAGCGACTCTACCAACGACGAATCGTCCTCTGGTACAGGCCTAAGATGCAATGTGGACTCTGGAACATCATCATCTTCCGCGCTTTCATCGTCTGTGTCCAGAGCAGCTAGAAGTGGATGTGGCTTGTTGGAGTTAGAACTATGTAATATTGCAAGTGCATCTTCAAGCGCAGTCTTCCTTTCTTGCATTCTAGAGAGCTTGTGACGAAGATGGTCTGTTGCTGCAAGAACAAAACGACTGCCTTCCCCAGGCGGAATTGTGCCTGTCGTGTCAATCTATCAGAAGAAAAATAGCTTTCTGGTGGCACATACCATTTGGACAAAGAGCCCCACAGCCACTGTATATGTTAAAGAGAGCGGTTCAATGGCAGAGATCGAAGCAAACCGCTGGACGCATGTTGAGCATGGTACTATTTTGTCGCAACGAATCTTCAGTCGGCGGCACTCGGCGCATGCAATTTCACCACGAATGCGTTTGGAGGCTTTGGATCGTTGGCCTGGAGCGTGAACTGCTGGTCGGCGCTCGTAAGGAGAAGGAGCCATGAAGAAAAGCTTCCGATTTGACAAGTACTGACAGCCTGCCGAGGCCGGCGATCTCGGGACCGAGCTGTCACTTAAGTTGCACGACCAAGGGCAAGGATGGCGAACATTGAAATTGTCTTACAGCTACTTTACTGAAGTTGTGTTTCCCGAGTCCTGTACAGCTCAAATTGAACAAGTATATGCTTTGAGGGTCATACCAGTGTGTGTTGCGTCGACTGCGAGATTCTTGAGGTCACGTGTGACACCTTTTTAGCTTCTTCACACTAGCTACTGACGGCGCCCACCACGATTTATGGCTCAGAGCACCTTAATTGCTGGAAAGATTTTCGTCCGCTAGGGCAACGGCTCTATTCGTAGGCAAACTCTCGGCTTGGTGGTATATGTATAAGTTGACGCCCAACAGTCAGACAGCTTTAATTGTATCGCAAACAATCGGAGTTCCACGTTTGACGACTCGGACGTTCCCACCATCCCGAAAACTTTTATACGACAACATCAGCTTCTTCACTCCATATCTGGGTACACTCTGGAATCTCGAGATCAGAGAATACAACTAGCTATGGGTAGTTTGGCGATGGTTGGTATAGGACGGACGACACTCATGATGGTTGGGCTCCACGGGAAGATTTCTGTCTGTGACTTTGGAAGCTCTTGCTCGACTAGAACCAACCAGGATAATCACTGAGCGGGGGAATGTGGGACGTGAAGCTCGGTCAAAAAATGCTGGTCCAATGTAAGACAAATACACCGTCACATTTTTTGCCTCGCCGCTCAAAAGTCGATCAAGCCCTCACTCCCGACCTATGGTGGCAATGGCAGCCCGAAAAATTATAGAAGGAAGTACGGGAACGGGAATAGACGAACATTCTCTCTCCACAAACCCTTATGCGAACTAGGAAACGTTTATTGTCTATTCGGCTTGCTCTTATCAGCGCTGCCTGTGCACTGTTTCTCCTCTATGGAGATCTTTTACTCCCTTCGCTCTCGACCGGTTCCACCAAAATCAATCCATTATCTTCGTCTCTGTCAAATGTTGAGGCCGTCCAACTTTTGGGTCATCCAACCTTCAAAGATGCCTGGGAATACGAACGAAAGCTGCCGCAGCACAAGAAGTCAAGCAGAATAGTAGCAAGCTCGACACGGAGGTAATTTCCTAACTCCACTTTTTGATACTTGGACTGAAGCGTTTTGCTAGGTACCTACGAATTCCACACGCCTCATGGGGAACAGGGTGATTTTGGAGAAAAGCGTAACGAGTCGCCAACTGATTAGCAGTTTTGCAGCTGGAACAACGTTTTCCAAGAGCAGTGAGTCGCCTTGCAATTACCCAATCGTTGCTGACCAACGAAACAGACTGTTGAATGCCTATCTGGCGCACATGAGCGACAGGGCCTACGTCTTTCCCGACTACATTCCTCGGGACCATGTCCCATTTCCCGATATGCTCGCCAACGGCACGAGGCACATGCTTCATATTCCGATGAACGCTTTTGTCGCTGGGCCCATTGCTGGCGGACCTTTATTCGATGACCCAGCCGAGGATATCATTACTAGACGCTCCATTTCAGACAAATGGTGGGAAGCAGTGTGTCCACGGGAGCAAGTCAAAGTCCTCAACGTATTCGAAGTTCACAACAGTTTTGGATATGATGCCCAACGGGTTGAAGGAGCGGAGATCCTGACAAGATGGGCAAAGAAACTGAAAGACCTGGAGGAACCATGCGTGAGTGTTGAGGAATTCTCGATATTGCATTACGGGTATGTTTGTCGACTTCATCTGACAGTTTGGGTTGACAAAAGCATATGTAGACTCATTGGTAGCCCATGGATTGTCAGTATATGGCCGTCGTATGTTGCTTCGCCGTTTCTCCAAAACTTCGCTTGGTCACCACTGGTAACATCGGCACTCTTCAGCAACATCCGTATTATTGCTCCTGGCCAAATCACCCCGCCAATATATCTCCGACCTATTCGAGCACTCTCATTGCAGGTGAACTCATATGAGTCCTTCCGACCTCTTCGCGCATCATCCCTCAGATTCCCCATCTCGGGTCTTCTGGGCCTCCATGTCCGGCGGGGAGACTACGCGCATCATTGTGTCATGCTTTCAGGCGGCGGGTATGATTATAATGCGTGGAACAACCTCGGGAAGCCAGGTCTCGTTGCAAACGCAAGTGCTGTCGCTCAACGTTGGCTTGGATTTGGCGGAGAATCGGCGATTTGGCCAAAGCTCGCCGAGGATCGGGACGTTCCTGATGGACTGTCAACCCAGGATGCGCTTTACCAACACTGCTACCCAGACATCGCGCATATCGTGAAACGGTCAGCAGATGCAAGAGCAAAAGCCCCGCTTACCCGCATCTTCATTGCCACCAACGGGGAGAAAGACTGGGTCACAAACCTAACGAGAGCGCTTTATGACGATGGCTGGGAACATGTTTCGACGTTGCACGACCTGAAATTGACGCCGGAGGCTTATGCGGTCAGCCATGCCGTCGACATGGGCATCTTGAGCGTGTTGGCGGAGGAGTTTATCGGAGTAGGCGTATGCACATAACTTCTCCATCATTTCGGACCACTTACCGCTTTCAGTTCTCTTCCTTGTCGAGCAATGTGGCTCAAATACGGTTGGGGACTGGGTTAGACGAAAGGACGATACACTTTTGGTGAATAACGTGCAGTGTCTTTGAAGTACTGCCAGGTTGATTTCGAGTTGCACTCTTAGTATTAGAATAATGATTGGACTCACACGACTACAAACCGGGAGTCGCACGAGCCCCTATGATCAAGATTTTTACTATATGCACGGTTGAAACGTTTAGCGGCACAGGAAATAACTCTTGATACCGCTACATCTCCAAGCGCTTATTTCCCGAATTTGAATCCGCAGTATATAGCAACTTCAACTAACTTGTCTCTTACCATCATGCGCATAGGGCAGGGCGCCGCCTTGCAGCGCTTACATTCGACGCTCGACTCGACTCGCCTTCTTCTCATTCGCGTCTCTCGTTCACTCGCATCTTCTCGACTACTTCCGGTCCTTGGACTCTTCACGAGCCTGCTCGCGCTCGCATTCGCGTTTCTGTGGCGGTTTTCCCACCTGCTCACCGCTGTTGTTCTTTTCCGATACATCTGGAAGTCGTTATACGCCTTTTACCAAGCTAAACTCGGGGGCGCATGGGGTCCAGCGTTTCCGCCGCATCGGACGAACTTTATCCTGGCGGTTGGGACGATACCAATATGGGGGCTGGGCATGGCGGGAATTATGCTTGCCAGTGCGATTGTGAGGAGGTTGTGGAGCGGCGCACGACTCCGTTGGGAGGGCGGCAAACGCGGGGGGCATGTCAACGGAAATGGTCATGGGCGGTACGAGGCAATTCCGTTGAACGTCGATGATGTGGAGGAAATGGAGGAGGAAGATACCCGGAGGCGGCGGCAACGAAGGGAGTCGCCAACTCCAGCCCTAAAAACCCGGCTGCTCTGGCTGGGCTTGCTGGTGTTTTACCTCTCCCTCGCCCTGTTTGGGCTCTATATGTGGAAGACGTATGAGCTCCCCATTGACAATCGGTTCAAAGCACGCGTGGAGCTCGCAAATCGCGTGCCCAAGAGAGAAGGCTACTCGACCCAAGGTATGTCTCAGTGGCTATCGCAAATTCTTTAGCTTATTCTGAACAGAGAAAATCTATATTGCCGCCATGTTCTATAATAACGAAGGTGTACTACCTTATTGGATAACCCAAACAACCCGCTTAATACACTACCTGGGGCCTGACAACGTTTTTGTCTCCATCGTTGAATCCAACTCTGGCGACAAGACGGCCGCGCTACTGGAATCTTTTGCCGACACACTTACGTCCCTTGCTGTCTCTCACAAAATTACTACCCATGATACCACCATACCTCGTCCACCGTCAATGGATACCGCTCCTCCCCGAATTGAATTCCTGTCGGCCGTTCGCAACCTTGTCATGGCGCCATTAATCGCGTCTGGAGGCTATACTCGAGTGCTCTGGAGCAATGATGTCTTCATCGAGGCCGAGACGATGGCAGAGCTAATTCACACACGCAACGGCGACTACGACATGGTCTGTGGTCTCGATCTCGCTTACTGGGGCCTGTACGACCAATGGGTCATTCGCGACCGCCAGGGCGGCTTCGCGTCCACCTTATGGCCTTATTTACTCGAGGAGACGGGTTTCCGTGCAATCCAAAAAGACGAGGCGGCGCCAGTTTCCGCTTGCTGGAACGGCATTGCTGCCATGCGCGCGGATCCATTTCTGCCTCCCTCAATGCGAAAGGGAGTACCTGCATTTCTCTCACCGATCGAGACAGGCCAAACCCAGCCGTGGTCAATGTCGACCGAGACCCTCCCACAGCTCGCAAGTACTCACCCAGCATACCCCCGGCCCGAAAACGCCACTGCACTGGACATGCCCGCAGTCAAATTCCGGGCTTCGGGGCCAAAGGAATGTTTCTCCTCCGAGTCCTTCTTGCTGCCCTACGACCTCCGCCGGATATTCGGCATGCACAGCATCTTTGTCAACCCACTGGTGATCAACTCGTATTCGTATGTCACTGTGCTTTGCGACCTCTTGTTTCTGACCTTGTGCAGATGGGAGTTCTACGTGTATTTCAAGTACATCACCCGACACTGGGTCGTCAAATGGTTCATCGAGCATGTTGAGAACGGCTATGGCTTCCACCAGGCGCGAATGATATTGGGCAATCCGGAGAATGTGTACATGTGGGACGGGGGAGCTTGTCACCCGGTACGCCCTTGTTGCTTTGGATGAAGAATTCTGACATTTTTCTAGTGGCGGTGATGCACACCAGAAAGTATTTGTACTTGTTCTGTTAATTTTTTCGTGTAATTGGATAGCGAAGAAACAAAACTCAGACCAGTGAGAGTATATAGAGCAATCTGGAGGACCATCGAAGAAGTGAGAATAAGAGCACTTGCCCCATAAGATAGATACTCCATTGCCGCATTTGCTGGCTACGATTTCGAAGCATGGCGCCAGGCCTCGGCATGCTGGCTCGACTTCTTCCCTCTCTAATTACCCCACTCATCGGCTTACTGCTTGTGTGTACTCTTTCCATCAACCTACTCTCTCCGTCCCTTCCCATCTGGCACGCCCTGGTTCTACTGGGGAGCATCCCGGTCGCGTTCACAATCCGTTTGTGGCACTCCTTAGCCCGAGAGTGGCTAGACGCGCGAGCCAATGGAGCAACAGATAAGTTGACTGACGCGAAGGAAGGAAGACTTGCTATGTTTTCCCAGGAAAGCTAAAGTTCGCCTTTGAAACAAATGAGATAAAAGATCCATTGCTAATGATGCTGAACAGGTGCAAGAATGTAAACGGAAACACAGAAAATAGCTGCTGGAGGTGTCAAGCGAGAAGAAAGGTAACAAATGGCACACCTCAATTCACTTGGGTGCATCCGCACTCTCCCTTGGCCTTTGTTCGCCCGCGCGCAAAGGCTCACGTTCTGCTGCCGAAATCATCGTCATTGGCTGGGCTGGGGCGGGCTGGTTGTCGATATTTTCGCTCTGGCGGACGTTCGCGCGGTCTTTCGCCAGGTCCTTCTCCCAAGCGTCTTCATCAAACGAGCGGCCGCAACATGACCCACAACAGCCGCCTCCCCCTCCCCGAATGCCGTTCCCATTACACCATGTGGCCCTGAAACCTTATAATTCAAGGATGTGGCAAGAGTAGAAGACCCACAGTGCAGCAAATCCACACAGACCTAGCACAAGTTCAGGAGCGTTACCAAGGCTGAAAGAATAGAGCGCACCAAAAATACCACAACAGGCAGCACCGAGTTCTTCCATTCAAAGGTCGTTCAAGTTCAGGTTCGTTATCGCCAGTAGTTGTCGTCAAAAGGACCCAGGATTATAAAAGCGGAAGGTTGGATGACAGGAAGCTGTAAGAGACTGGCAACTGCATGGCAATAAGCGGTGAAATTACTTGAAGCAGAAAACTGCACTGTGATCATTAGCTCAAACGCTCCCACGGGCCTCGTCTCCGCTCCCTCATCGTTGCGAAACGTACAACGGGCTGCAAGGTCAAACTCGGTGCTCTCCGCTCGCCCGGTGCTCTCCGCCAATGCGATATTTCGTCCCAAGAAGGAAGGGCCCAAACTTCGACTGGCCCTTATTCTCGCAAGCATGGCTGCGGCGAGCTTATCCCGTCTTGACGACCCGCGCCATCCATCTGTCTGTACCCCGGCTGTGCCTTCCTACTTTGAATCGCCTTTCTCTTCAATCACGACCCAAAGTTTCATCAGTCTCATGCATCTCCTTCGTAGTTTTCCTTCGCCCCAGAAGCAATGTGATTAACTCACACGAAGATACTCTCTCGTCAACTTACGCTTCAAGCTTCAAGACTCATTCACATTATTGTTCTCATCGAATCGAAATCGAATCCCTAAACACCCTCAAGATCCCCTTTCATCCTCCCCAATCAATCACGTTCACGCAAATTCAGCCCCCTCTCGTTCAATCTCCTGGAGTCAGGGACAGACCTGTCGCGCGAAAAAAGTTATAACGAGGCCAGGGCAGCGCCAGCCCGCACCCTCTTTGACTTTGCGGCTCGCACCTCCAATCAATCACACTCACACTCATTCGCAAGCATGTCGCACTACAGCCAGAGCAGCCAGCAGCCGCTCGCCCACCCTGGGATGTGTATGTCGCTACGCTCGCTCTCCCCGCATTCATGGCTCACCCACGCTAGCGGAGTTTCGTGGTGGAGAGCAACACCAGCAGCCCAAGCCCAAAAAGGAAGACTCGTTGATGGCGACGGTCGGCAAGAAATACGCCGGCGGGGTCGCCCAGAAAGCGGGCGGCCACACGGAGGAATACGTCAAAGAAAACCACGAGGAGATAGGGCAGAAAGTCGAGGAGGGTTATGACGACGCAAAGGAACGCGCGCAAGCTGAATTGGACAAGGCTAAACAAGTGCGTTGTTCTCACCTTATGGTCTCGTTTGACGCCGAGCACAGACTTGGGCCAAGATTTTCCCGTGCTGTAGTTGAAGATGGACCTTCAAGTTCTAATGTTGTTACACACTGAAAAATACATAAATTCCCCGCGCTACATCGGCATCGACCCTTGCCCATATTGGTGTTGTTGTTGCTGCTGCTGACTATACTGGCCATAATACTGGCTCTGAGATTGGGGAGCAGCTTGTTGTCGTTGAGGGAACATGGAAGGGGGAGGCATCTGTCCATATGCTTGTTGTTGGTAGTGCTGCTGAGGTGCGGCGGCATATTGTTGCTGTTGTCTTCGGGCTTGGGCTTGTACGGGATGGGGAAAATTGAATGACGGAGGCCCCATTGACATGGGCGGATTTGGGGCTGCGAGGGAAGCACCAGGGTCGGTGAAGTAGGGATGTGTCAGTGCCTCCGCTGCAGAAATGCGTTCCGCGGGGTCGAATTTTAGCAACCGGTCAAGGAGATCGAGTGCTAGTAGAATTGAGCCTTTGGGGGTGCCGCGAATACTGCCCACACACCTAATGGAGAGGCTTTAGGTAGGACCTGCATCCAATTCATCTTCGGAAAGACTGCAAATTCTTTGAGGACTATTTCCGGCTGGAAGAACATTTCAGAGGGGGGCTTCTACATAGATGAACCACAACTTACGGAGTCCTGCAGCATCTTTGCGAATTGTTGGTGCGAGGGAGTGCCGATTATCTTCATTATATGAAGCAGCTGGTCGTTATTGTCCTTGCCGCGGAAGAGCGGCACCCCCGTTATCATCTCGGCAAAAATGCAGCCACAGCTCCAGATGTCGATCGATGTACTGTAGGTGCGGGACCCCAGCAGGACATCGGGCGCTCGGTACCACAATGTCACAACCTCGTTCGAAAATGTGTTGACAGGCACCCCAAATGCCCGTGCGAGACCAAAGTCCCCGAGCTTCAATTCGCCTTTGCGGTTAATGAGCAGGTTCTGCGGCTTGAGGTCGCGGTGCAAGACTTGGTTTTCGTGGCAGAAATGCGTGCCTTTGAGAATCTGGAACATGAAGTTACGAACAATTGTCGGCTCGAGCGCGCCACGCGTGCCATGCTGGTCCATGTACTTCTTCAAGTCCGAGTCGCAAAACTCAAAGACAAGCGTGAGCTTCGTCTCGGAATGGATAACGTCGTGCAGGCGCAGAATGTTCACGTGCTTCAGCTCTTTGAGCAGCGAGATTTCGCGGATGGCTGTTGAGGGGGTGCCCTCTTCGGCGTCGAGGTGGATTTCTTTCAGAGCAACGATCTCGCTCGTCGTTTTCGATCTTCCCTGAAGAGAGTGTGTGAGCCAAAGACGGCTGATGAGGCAGCGCAGCGCACCTTGTATACGGTCGCATATGTCCCTTCACCGAGCTTCTCCAGCTAACGGAGGAGAGCTCAGATGTTGTAGAACTGCAGCACAAAAGACACACCTGGATGTAATTCGACGCCATCGATGTCGGACCAAAGGCACTCCAGGCTCCTTTATAGCTCTGTTTCGGCGGTTCCGGCGACCACGAGTACAGGCACGGAGCACTGCGATGGGCGACGCGGAGGAAAGCGCCCACGAGTCCGAGCACAGCCACGCGCTGTCATGTGTCAGCAGGCTTATGTCACGTTCGAGTCATTACAACGTCGAGGACCCAAAAAGGAAACTTTGGTGCAAACTGTGGGAAGTTCCCAAGTGATAGTGGTGTGGAGATGTGATTTCTCTTACTTCTCGTATTCTCTCGGCGTTTATCTGCCAGATATACAACAGCACTCTTCACACTAGAGCGGCTGGATGTAGCGAGGCGGTATATTCATCTTTCGGGAACAAGTCAGGTTTCCACGCCCAAACAATGAGGTGATACCCGCAAAAAGATATTAGCGGAAGAGAAAGTAAAATTACACTGTCAATCGTATATGATAAGTAAATCCTATTGGCTACATTTGAGAGGGGAGATTTATACATGGCCCAAGTAATAACAATAGCTCAATCGGTAAACCATACATTGAGAGTGGGGGAGATAGAGTGACAGATTGTGATATAGAATGGCCAGGATCAATGAGAAAAGAATTGTCGAGTCAGCAAGCGTCGTTAACAGCAGGAAGCCAGATGGATCTGCTGCGTGTTCAGCCCTGGCGGTTGGCCTGCGAACGTGTCGAACGACCATGCACATGTCGAACAGGGCCCGGATCTCCCCGGACAGAAGAGATGGGCCGCTGAGTGGTCGCAGGCTCGGGATCTGGAATGGCCACAGCGGCAGAGTCATTCGGATTGGTGTTAGTCTCAACCGTCGCAGTCGAATTCGGTGCCGCGTCGGTGCCGCGCGGCCAGGATATAGTGAGTAGGCCTTCAGACATCGACGCCTCGACAGCACTAGACTACAGAAAAGATAAAGTCAGTCCAAGTTCATGAGACGAGAAAGAAGATCTTAAGAGGCACGATAAGATCTTGGGGAAAACTTGATCGACTAAGAAACAACACTCACGTCAAGGCCAGCAGGGAGTGGGATCGTTCGATGGAAGCCGCCGTAGCGCAGCTCGTGTAGAGGGAAGAGACGAGGATCGCGCTGCAAACCAAGAGCGTCGTTTGTGTCAATCTCCATCTCTTCTTGCTTGACTTGATCCCGAGCATGAGTAGGAACTCTCGCAAGGCGTCGACCGCTGAGCTCGAGACACCCTTGCTTGAAACCAATAGACAAGTCCCCGATATTAACGCCAGGAAGCTCCACAACAGCGAAAATATGCGAAAGAGCGGGGTTGTCGTAGAGTTCCATCCTAAAAGGGCAGATTCACATCAGAAAAACTGGTTATCTCGGATGGTCAAAACTTACCTGGGCTTAAAAATCGCATTTTCAGCAGGATTAACCACCTTAACGCGACCAGCACGCAGGGCTGCGTCCATATGTATCAATCGGCGGATCAGGGCCTCGCGAGCAGCATCATGAGAGCGAGCGGATGGCGGGGCGGAGTGTGAAGTCTTGCGGGTGGTTTTCGCAGGCATGGCGGAGTCAGTAGAGAAAGGGAAGGGCACCTCCATTGTTCCCCAGCTGCCTTTTATACTCCTGGGTAGTCTCGTGCACTGAGGGCTGTGCACAGCCATAAAAGGAAACAAAGCCTGGTGCGGCGACTAGAACTTTCCGGAAGTGAGTCACTCGAAGGCAAACCGACGCGTATGTGTGGCGTGAACATGTGCTTTTGGAGCGATCGGTGCGCGTTCGGGAATTGTCAGCAGCGGTCAAGCAAATGGTGGCGATGAGCGGAGGCTGCGGAGCCGGAGTCGGTCCTGTTCGAATGACTCGAATATGGTTTCAGGAGGGGTTCTGTGGGAAAAAAATAAGTCTCAGTCATCCTGCTGCGCCCGACCGATGTAACGTGGAGAGCGTACACTGGCCTGAATCGCTACTGTTCGGGAGCATGCTATGTGTGTGGATAGGTTATGGGTGTGACAGTAGGTTATGGGTGTGACAGTGTGCTGCCACATCATCTGTCACATCATCCTCTCTCTCAAGTTTCTCAACTTCGAGACGCTTGAGATCCAGAGCCACACAGTCAACAGCTCAAGGCATTTACTTCAGAATTGTGCCTGCTATTGGGCTCGGTCAAAAGAGGCTTGCTGATTCATCCTATCTCCAAGACCATCAAGCTTTGAAGTTCAAGCCGCCATATCGAGAGGTCTCTGCAAATGTAGCTGTCTACGCCGGTATCCCACGTATTCGTGTAATGACCTTCATAGATACTACTCTCCTTAACTCCAAACGCTCAATTTTTGTCAACCTGAAGGCGCTTGTCGCAAGCACGACTCAACCTTCCTCCTCAAAATCCTATATTATCACGAAACAGCGCTGTTCTCTCGCTCAACCTCCAAACAACCTTATGAGCAATCTGCTATCAGTATCTTCGGTGTTGTGAGTATCTACAAAGCGTCGCATTGTCCTGAGCTCTGGCGCTTTGATCACACGCCGCATCAACGGTGCTCTGACCTATAAGAACACCATGGCCTTAATCCAGCACATCTTTGCTTCGACAAAAACCAGCCTGATTGGTCTTTCATCTGCACCTGGTTGTGCGTTCTCTTCAAACTCACCCGTTCATTTTGCCCAGGTGCGAGATACTTGAAACAGGCATGGACCTCCCTGACCTTGAACTTTAAAGAATGTCCTATCCTAACTCGCGCTCTTACTATCAGCCCCAGCAGCATCAGTCAGCGCGGAGCCAGCAAGCTCAACCCACCACCTCATCTCGCAGTCGCGCGGAATCGCGGGATCACTCTTCCCATCGTCACCGTGTCGTATCCTCCACACGCTCCTCCACAAAATCTCAGTCTCGCCACCGGGACCCAGTTCACAGCTCTCGTTATGCCCCAGCCACCTCTATGCCAATGCCACCTATGCCATCCCACCACGTATCCTCCTCGTGCATTCCTACGCAAAGCACCCCAGTGCCATTGCTGACCAACCCATTCATGGGTGGCGATGACGAATCATATATCGGCTCTGTTGACGACGAAAGCGGCCTCAGCGCGGCCGAACGGGCAGAAGCCTTTGGCTATCTCAACTTCGAGCCTCTTCCTGCGTCGCTTACGCCCGCGGGCCAGTATGCCTCGATGAAGCAGCTGCGCCGCCGCTCGCGCTCCGTTGGGTCCTTCCAAGTGAGGACCGGCCCGCATACCGGGGTCCCGGGCCGGCAGGTCGGGCGCGAAGGCGTCCCAAGCGCCCAATCGAGCAAAGTCGAACGCACATCGTTTTACACGGTGCGCCATGCTTCGCGCTCGACTGCTGCAATCAATCCCTCGTCATCTTTTCCACCCAAGACGGCACCCTCAACTCCGAGTCGCGCCTCGAAGCCACGAAAGAACTACAATGAGCAGAAACCTATACCACCGTTGAAGGACAAGAAGTGGCGCAATGCGGCAGCTGCGGCTCCAGTACAGGCCGCTGAGTTTGACCTGCCTCCCGGCGGCTTCAAACGGAAGCCTATGAGCTTCTTCGTCAATATGTTCACCTAATCTAAGTATTACGAGTTACTCTAGTCGTGGCGCCTTCTCTCGTGCGTGTTGTTGTATATATATACTAGTAATACACAATTAATCTTGTTATTTGTCTCATTCCGGTCGCTCGTTTTGCTCCTGCACTCACCATGTCTTCATCGTCTTATTTCTCAACTAATATCCATTTCTTTGCCACACCCGAGACGCGATATGTCACGGAAACGTGATACTTGTGTGACCGTGGCTCCTGACTGCGAGTGTACAGTGGCAAAAACGAAAAAGTCAACTTTACTGACATTTGGATATGCTTTAACCTCTCCTTTTAATGTTACTAGTAGATGCCCGAAAAAAGTCGAATTGAACAAGTTCTTGTTGCCTATCCCACTTTTGCCATTTTTGCGCGGCTCCAAGCTTTGATGATACCTGCAAGCGATTAGTAGCAGTATCGTCAACGGTACATATCACGCACGATCTACGGCATTCTGTGCGAGTTCGTAGTGCATTAATTCGATGGAAGCACTGGATACGGACAGCTCACAGGGTCCCAGAAGTATTTCCCATCGTCCGGAAACCAGTGTGGCCCTTCGGTGACACATCACAAAAAGCGGCCGAGCGATGTAACGGTCATGCTACGTAATTGTAACAGCTGTAAGGTCTTGTAAGCGTCAACAACACTCTCAGCAGAGTTATATCTCGGTCATATGGAGATCTTTAAACCCACAAACCATGAAAAGTCTCTTGTAAGGCTCAAATAGGGTTGCATCTCTCTTGCATTGAATTTCTAACCTTATTGTTGCCTATCAACCTTCGTCTTGTTCACAAGTGCTACAACTGATTGCCAAGGATTCTAGGGAACCAAAAAGTCCCTCACTAGATACACAAAACCTGAGGGAGAATATAAAAGTTTTTTGCTCTTGTAAGCCATCCCAAATCAAGCTGAAACCTACCACAGCCTAAAATTCTCATTGGCACTGGGAAGCTAAGAACAGGATAGGTTGAAAATACAAGCTGTTGAAAACGACATCAAGTCCACTGCTCCCCGTTTCAAATCTACTCTAAGGCTGTAAGCCATTCTGGGTGATTGCCAACTGCTAACCACCTGACAACGGATTACCACTGTGCTTAAATGATGCGAGAAAATCAATCCAGGCTTCACAAACATCAATTTCATTATTGAATTGGGGAGTACGATATAAGTAAGTGACTGGTTAGGCAACGAGCGTAGAAGAAGGAGTGAGGGGACCACTATGTAAACGATCGTGATGAGGGACAGATTGATACACGACATAATGTCCGCTTTGAAAATGATTAGAGAATGCAAACATGGAGATGAGGAACCAACATGAATTCAAGTGCCACCAGAGTTGGTCGCATCCGCAAGCACACGTTGGCTAGCACGACGGCGACGTTGAGCCACTGCTTCATCTTCGCTGGCAGCTCCATCGCAATCCGACCCATCTGACAGGTTATCATCGCCTTCGCCAAAAACTCGCCTGCAAACGATGAGAAACAAGATTATAAAATGAAAGATGGGATACTCGGTCAACCAATCAAGTGTCTCTTTGCCCCATTCTGGGCGATCGGGGTCGGAATCGTCAGCAAACGCATCCAAGACTTTCTGATAGAGAACGGTAAACTTGTATTTTTTGGACTCCTGGTTTGTCCACTGAGGAGCACTGCTGATGGATAGCCAAACCTGAACAGTTTCAGCGTAGACCTGAGAATATATGCACATTACCTGCACAACCACATATGCAACCATATGAGCGGTGACACGACGAATGTTATGAATAGCAGCTAAACAGCCGTAAGAGAGCTCGTCGTCTGCGGCGTTAATTGCGCCTGAACGCGAGACGAATAAAAGCCTGATGCCCTGTTGCACAATCATTATTCAAGGAAGGTGGGCCAGAAAAGATATACATACTCGCCAAATTGCAACGCCGGTGAAGAGATTTTCGAGGTAGGCGTCTGGGTTCCACTGGCCATCCGGGTAGCAAAACGAAGGGAAGTATTTGCAAGACGGGGTATATTGACTTGCGACAATCTTGTCATAGATACTACGTAAAGGATGAGTGAGTCAATTGAGGTGGTGAAAACGAAAGCACGTCTGAGCTTCTGGGCTGAGATGGTTTGAGGCGTCAATGAAATGAGGCGGCGAGCGAGAATCTTACGATAGAGTGGGTGTTGGACTGGAAAAAATGAGCGTAGGTCTCAAATGGGGAACGAATGATTAACTTGGCGGGTGGTCCATAGATTAAAGGCGGAAATAAAACTCGGTCTTTCCAGGGCATGATGAGCATGCGGAGTTGAGGATGAGCAAGACCCCGTTTGGATTTGGCAATGCCTTGTTCGATGGGTGGAAATAGGCAATCCGAGCCGGGAATGGGGAGTAAAATCGCAAGCTATTCTTGAATGTGTTCGTATCCTGAGTTCGTGCCTCACTAGCGGCTTTGGCCATCTAAGTCATAGTAAGGAAGGTAAATGAGAGAAAAAGGACACTCACTCGATCACATAGTGCTTGCCAGACGGCGGGACGAGCATTCGAGTCGTGGTAGATGTGCTGCAAAACAGGTAAGAGATCGATGCGGCATGTCGACATAATCTTCGCGAAAATATCCGCGTGATGACCTGCACGTTCACTGTGATGCATAATGAGAGAAGAAGCTCGAAGGACTGGGGCTTACCTGGGAGGAAGGTCGTCGATGCGGGCAGCCCCAGCGGTTGGAAAGGACTTGAGACAGCCATAAGTGAGTATGCGCTTCATATTCCAAAAGGCGTCTGCGCCGCGAGGAACGAACTTCGCAGCGTCGATTAACTGATGGTAAGCCCCTCGATGTAGCCTGCACAGTGTGATTGATGGATTCCGTCAAACAAAGAAATGGGCTTGCGCGTTTGGGGAGGTCCAATTTTGCGCTTCCCGAGGACGGAAGGAATACCGGAGGACGCCGCAGACGGAACGGTGAGGCCTAAGTGGTCGAGAATATCCTGGTAGAAAGCGTGTTGTTCGGCGGTGAGCGAAGTCGAGGGGGGAATTAGCACGGGTATGGTGGATGAAGGAGCAGGTGTCGGATTATTTGGGTCAGGGATTGCCTCCGATTCAGGCATTCCAACGCTGCGAGGAGTACAGTATAAGAAAGAAGTGAGGAGGATGATCGAGGGCATTTAAACGCCAAATGTGGATTGATGATCAAATCACGTGCTGATGGAGCTGTCGCTGAAGGACATTGAGATGGTTATGGGCACGAGTGCTGCCCTGATGTGAGCGTAGTAGGTTGGCAAAAGGGAAGTAGTAGGAGATGGGGCACATATCGGAGTCAATGGCTCGAGCTGGGGAGGTAACGCCGCTGTACGGCGCGGTCGAGGCGACGCTGAAGCGGGCATAAGTAGATCGTCTTCTCTTTCGGGTTGTCCTTGACGATTTCGACGATCAATAAGCCGTAGACCGCAGGCAAGTGGGTGTGAGCAGCAGGCCAGAAATGGTACAAGATCAAGCACGTTCCAGCCAACAGCAGTTTGGCCTCGTCGATCCACTCGAACCATTCCTTCGATTGCAAAACACCAACAGCAGCATGCGTTTCGAGCTTGAGAACGTAGACAAAAAGTGTTGTCGTAGTCGATAAAGCGACCACAGTAGAGGAAGGCGTAAACGACCGTGAGGACCGGCTTCCCGGCCCAGCAGAGGTGACCCTTGCGAAACCACCTTGCTCGCGTTGGTGTGCGAAGCAATCTTGGTCTCAGCCTTGCAAAGATCTCTAATGCGAAGGGTGTCTCGCCGTCGAGCATGCGGAAGCCGTTAGACAAATGGACCAGACGGAGCAAGTCGCCGTCGATGAAGGCGGGGGAAATTGACTTCATGATAGCCTTTGAAATGCGTTAGTAACTCTGAAAAATGAAACTAAAAATGAGCAAACAAACCTGCCATCCAGTCACAATCGCGAAATCCATTGGCGCGGTAACCTCCTCGTTGCGAATGGTTGAGAAAGACTCGCACTGGTCGCCCACAATGGCACAGAACTGCTCAACAGCAGCACTCTTGATGGTGACCTCGGGTCCATGGGAAGTCTCGTGGATGTCGATTTGAGGAAGGACAGCATCGTCTCCATACCACAACTTCCAGTAGAACTACTTGATGCGCGTGTTGCGATCAGTCGCGATTTCGTGAATGGGCGCGAAGCCCTGCAACGGCTTGTACTCGAGTGGAGAGAGAGCGGAACGGAGACATCGCGACGGTCTTCGAAAATGGTAATGTCGATGAGTTTCGTTGTCGGGAGTACTTGATTTCAACGGCCTCAAACAACTCCTTATGCTCGCCGTAAGAACGAGCACTACCATAGAGGGAGACCAAACGGGGCGCCATTCTCATAGCCGACAACCATCTTCTGGCCTGTTCGTGGCGCAAGAAGTCGCTTGATGGGGTTGTCGATGTAAGAAGTGCCTTGAACGATGGTCGTTGAAGTGGTCAAAGCACGCAACCAGCTCAGCTCTTGACCGCCCAAGGTTCTGAGCCAAACCGAGGTAACAGGCAAGCGGTCGACGAACTCGAAAGTGACCTCGTTCTTCTCTTGGGTGCGTTTAATGCAAGTGACAACGGGAGGAGGAATGGGATGGGCAGCGAGGTAGTCGATAGTGGCGACGTCGCCGTTGTACTTGAAGGTAAGAAGACGTTGAATGAGTTCAGCATGGATATTGTGCCCTTGGTATTCGAGTGTTTAACGGCTATGAGACCTCGAGGGATGCAAACATGCTGGTCTTGGAGACGACCTCGATCCTACGAAAGAAAAAGATCAGTCATATTAGGAAAAATGGGTAAAGTCAAACTGACCTTCTTGAACCAGACTTCGAAAATGGCATCGAGAACAGGAAAAGGGGGCAGGCTTTTGACCCAGACGTTGCGAGATGGCAAGAAAGTAAGCGGTGTCTTCTGAGGCAAGGAGCCGCTTGGTGGCAATGGGAGATTTCTTCAAGAAGGACGCGATGAAGGGAAGAGGGTCTTCCGATTGAAGAAGAGAATGCTTCTGTCCACCACCGTTGGCACCACAAAACGCTCTTCAACCTGATGAAGCCAATTAAATTGCGCAATGAGACATCCACCCGACTCCGCGAAAGATGTTCGATGCATTGTCGGGTCGCGAACCACACAACAATCTTAGTGAGTCGTCAACCACCGCAGATAATGACTTGGGAGAAATCTGACCGGTGAATGAGCTGAGGACAATGACTATTATCATCGGAGAGAATTTGAGCCCACAAATTAGACTGACACCGCTTTATGAAGTCTCTCGTTTGCTTCAGCCTTGGATTCTCGTGTGTAAATCGCCCCAATGTACCCCTCGTCCACAGAAGCCTTTGACGTGGACAATCAAGGCGAAGAACGGGTCGCGTTTCTCGCAGAACCTGCCAACCACCGTGGAATCGTAGAGCTGCGTGTGTGTCAGCCGCCCCGAGTAAATCAGTGATTGTCAAATCGACATACACATTGTTGCGCTTGAGGAATACTCCAGCATTGTGGTCGCTGTAGATATCGATTTGTGCGATGGCATTGAAAACGGCAGTGTCCCGGCTACCAGCTTGAACACGGGCCTCGAGGCAAGGAAGAATGAATGGTTTTGCTGCTCGTTCGTTCGCAAGCTCGTCGACGGTGTAATTAGGCTGTTGACAAGGGCCTCATTGCACCACAATGCAGAACACAGTCATGCTCAACGTCAAATCGATTGCAGATGGTGATGAGAGGGAGCTGATTGGAGAGTTTTGCCTCTTCAGGAGAATTCTTGACCTTCTCTGAGTTGTGGCAGTTACTCTCCCAGAAAATTTGTTCGACTTCGCGCGTATCTGTCCAGTGTCAGTAGGATACAAGCGAAAATGAAATAAAAGTGCGGACCTCGGGATGAAGCTATGGGGGGCCACACGTTCGACGCCAGCGAAATCTTGATGATGCATGAGAATCTGAGGGTGTATCTTAATAAGTCTCGCACCTCGACGGAAACAATGGAAAAAGCACCTATTGCACCAGTCCAACCTTCTGGAAAAGATGGCCTTGATACCAGCCCAGCATCAACCGTCGCTGCTTGACCACCTACTACAGCAGATTCTAATTTGCTATTCCGAGCGCGTAGGCGTATGGATTGACGGATGCGCATGTTGAGCAGAGGATGCACGCTGCGACGATTGATATAAATTCAAGTTGTTCAAGTGTGAAACTAAAGACACGTACTTGGGAAGACTCCAGTCTCACATTGTCGCCATCCAGCTCCCACCCATGCTTCAGAATGAAAGCGAGCAGGCTCCGTAGTGAGAAGGCATGCATATTGTCTGCTTTCACTGGGGCTGCTTCCTCGGCCACAAGGTAAAGTCAGGCTTGCATAACGCGTATTTTGGAGCGCCTCCGGATATAAAAGGCCCAGGATGCGTCTCCGTGGTGGTAGCCGCCATTTCTGTCGGACACCAGAGTGTTGAGTTTGTGTGGCAAGAGGTTGTCTATTTTCAGATGTGAGCTGGATTCAGAGTAGGTGATTGAAGAGGCTTTACCGGTATCGCTACACACACTTCATCGAGGGGCGTTCGGACTTCTGATTTGCAGCTTCGTCGTCTTCGTCGTCTGCGTTGTCGTCGTTGTTGCTGTCCGAGGCAGCGGCGAACGTGTTCAGTGTCAAGCAAGTCATGTTACATAAGCGTGACATTCAGCGAGTGCAACTGTGCAGATGCCTTGCAGCCTAGATGGTAGTGGGGAAGGAGGAGCAGGTTGGAACGTGAGAAGCCTGAGTAATTGGGTTCCTATCGTTCTCAAACCCAGAGTAGACATCCCAAGCAATACTGCGAAAATAAAAGTATCATGGTGATGATAATTACGCTAGAGAGTATACAGTCCTTCAGTAAAACCCGGTCATTTGAGGCATTATCCCATTCGTCTGGGAAGAGTAACAAGCCCACCAATTAGCCGCTTTGTGGTCATAATCCTCTTGCTCCTTCTGCACTTCCTTCTTCGACCGTTCACTTCTTTTTCAGGCTGCGTGAAGCATTGCAATGTCGACATTGGTTGCTCGGCAATCTTGGTCGATCCAAAGACCGCTGCTGTGGTCATTGCATTCTTGAAGAGTCTGCCGTTCTTGGACAGAGCGATAAACGGGTCCCATCGCGAGTCTTTCTTCTGAGAAAGTGAGAAAAGAGAAGAGGAATCAGTTACCCTTCGTACCTTGGATAGATACACGGCAAGTCGACGGGGCTCGAGCAGTGGCGCTTGGTCAAGGCAATCGTACTAAAGTTGTTGATAAACGTCAGACAAAAAGATTAACCCGTTTGAACAACAAACCATGTAAAACGGGTCTTCTCCGATGACCTCCCGGACATTGTCAATCAGTTGCTGACCGGGTTTCTTGGCCAATGCGTACGTCTCGCCCTTTGTTGGGTCCATTTGGCCGATGTTGTACTGCATATAGGCCAAAACTTCAGCATCGGCACGGTTCATCAACGCGATGCAACGAGCAGTAATATCACAGTCGACAGTCGTCAAACGACCGAAGATAATGTCATAGAACATGAGAAGGGCATCTTGACGAGCCCAATTCAAGTCGAATCGGCGAACCTTGATGGGGTCAAACATGAGTTGAATACCCTCGATATAGACGTCTCCGTGCTCCTTGGCGACGTTGTCGGGCTTGGTCTGTAGCGCAAGACCGTTGGCCTTCTCGTTGACGAGAGCAGTTTCGCCGGCCCGGGAGTTCCGGTTGAGGTAGCGCATATACAGCTCGATGTGCTGAGCTGCGAACGCAATTTGAGTGAACTGGGTGGCGAAAAGCAGACCTTCAACGTACCACTGTGGCCATAAGAAAGCGCTTGCCAAATCTTCAAGCAGAGGTTCCTCGCCCTTCTCGGGAGCGGAGGTAAACTTGAGTTGGAGATCACTGAAAATCTCATTCTGAAGAGTGGACTTGGAACCGACGAGGTCCTTGATGGACTTGGGAGAGAGATCTCGTCGATTTTCTTCTTCAACTTTTTGCGCGACGATTGCAGTAAAAACATGAATGACTTTGACAGGGAAATTGTCGATAGTTGCGACTGGCCCAGAAGGAGCCGCAAGAGCGACCGCCCGAGGCGCACCAGCAGTAGCAGCAACTGAAGTAACAGCAGCGGCTTCGGGAGTTTCAGACTCAGCAGCTGCCCTAGCCTCGTCCTCGAATTGGCGATCTTGAGTCTGAATCCCACAGACGGAGGACGCAAATTGATACAAAAAGCTCAAACAGGATAATGCAAGCGAGCTTTTGGTGTTTCTCAGCGCTGGCCCAGTTCTCTTGGCCCCATTTCTTGAGAACTTTGTCGAGACGGGGAGGAGGTCTGGTCGTAGATGATTTGCGCGCACTCCCTAGCGAGCTTGATGCGGTGACCAGCGTCAAGGACGGCACTGCAGAAACCGGCTGGCACAGTGGAAAGAGTCATTCCAACGACCATAATCGGCGGCTTGCCAAGAAAACGCGAGAAGGGAGTGTCGACCTGCATAGTGCCCTCACTCAGTAGAATTAGTATGGGTGGAAACGAAGGGGGGATTGTAACATACGTTGTCTTCCCAAACCCGGCAAGAGACTTCGTTCGCAGAATTCAAACCACCGTCAATTGCAACAATGTGGTCGCCAAGGACGTGCATGGTGTTCGTACTTCTTGTAGATAGTCAGGGTTGATAGCATTCAGAAGTGAGAGGCTCTGGAACTTGAAGTTGCAAATGGTGAAGGCTCAATGCTGATAGAAGGTCGGACTGGATGAATGCTGTCTTATAGTCGGATGGTGTAAAACCAGATTCGCAGCGATGCAGGTTTAGGAGGGGAGCTGATCGTGTCAAGAGGAGCCTGGTGGATGGTCGTTTGAAGTGTATTGGCTAACGGAGCGGTTTCTTGAGGGCCGAGACGGGGCATGAGTGAGACACGTTGGGAATCGTCGTCAAAGTTACAACTTGAAGCCTGTGACAGCGACGCCGCAGCCACACGTTATCCCGTTTGCTAATGCCCTTACGGTCTCGTTCGCAAAAGACTGTTCATTTGTTCATTCGCCACCATACGTCCTGGACTGCTGGAAGTCGAACGTCAAGGTCGTTGTGCTCAACTTGAAATCACTGTCAATTCAATCTCCTAAAAGGCCATCCCAACGAAAGTCTTCAAATTGTCCAAGTTATTTTGTAGGTCGGTAGTACTGAAAACTGTTCTACGGAATGGTACGAACTCAAGTTAAGCGACTAATCTAGGTCGGACGACGGTATCTCAATTTCAGTCATAGGATCGTCCAATTCCTGCAAGACTTGCGAGGCCTTGTCCACCATCTTGACCAATTTGTCGACGTTCTTCAGCAAAAAAGCTCCCCGCTGCTTGGCTTTCAGCAACGCGTTCTCGTAGGATCCGACGCGAGCCATGGCATCCTGGTGCTTATCCTGCAATTTGTCGATCTGGTCCTCCGCCTCGATAACCTCTTGGAAGAACTGCTCTCGACCGTGGTTGACGTGGGAGAGTGTGATCCTAAGCTCTCGAATTTTGTTGCGGTGGGCGTCGATCTCAAGCTCATTCTGCTGCTTGAGGGCATCCTGCGCCTCGGTAACACTCGGGTCGTCGGCTGCCTCCTCGCCTCGCAGCCGCTCCACTTGCTCGCGCAAGAGTCTGTTGTCCAGCTCAGCCGCATGGTGCGCTTGTCGGAGGGCTTCGTGTTCTTCGAGGAGTTTCTCGTGTCTGATGCCTGCAGCCCATGATCAATCTATTGTAGCCCTCAGCACGGCGCACTCACGCAAGTTGGTGGCATCATCGAAGGGGTTGGGTTCATCGCTTGGGACGGAGCTGAGCTGGGCGCAAATGCATTGTGGCCAACTTACCTGTGTTGGGCCCCGATTGGTGAGAAACTAGCTGACCCGCGCGTCGCGTTCGCTGATTGAGGCGTAGGAGTACTAGCCACGGTAGGTGAGGCCGACTCAATATGGGTGTATTTGCGAACGAATCCACGAAAGGCAGCCGAGTCGGAAACGTCTGAAGATAATTCAGACATGGTCGAAAGGAAAAGGTGAGTGAGAGTGACCGCCTTCGATCCTTGAACTTCTCACAGAAATAAATTTCCCGATTTGGAAATCTCAATTTGCGCGACTTTTCACTCGCTTTCTTGCCTCCCCCTTCACCTGACTCGGAAATCTCTGTTCAACTCCTGGAATGTCTGGTGGGGAGCCCATAACCGGGAGATGTTAAAGCTCACCCCTTCCAGATACTGTCCAACTTGAAGTTTTGAAGGCCGAGCTTGAGACTTCGCGCGAACTTAACCACCAATTGCTCATCGCCAACGCGAGTGTCGCTCAAGACCGCGACCAGATACAGCTCAAGCTGGACGCACTCGAATCTGCCCCTGCGCATCAGGCTTTGAAGGCAGTGAGGGTCGAACTGGCCCATGCCAAGTTCAATATGCTCGCTTGTCAGACTCAAATAGACTCTCAAAAGAAATTGATTCAGGTGCGTCTTTAGATTTCATGGACATCTCGCTGGAGCCTTAGGGTCTTTGACAGAGTTTCATGGCGGAATCGGTTCATCTTCGGACCAATCTCCAAGTGGCGGAAGGCCAAATCGCCCTTCTCCGAGCAAAGAATCGGATTCTTGAGGGGAAGTTGTCTGAAGCTCAGGCGAAAGCTTAGTGGTGGGTCGGAGGGAGTTCAAGTGATGTCGCATGTACTAGTCCGAGTCGCAAAATGCATCTTTTGGCAACCACACGATGCGTGACGTCATTCATTCTGCTTTCCTTGCGCGTTCTCATCCTTGTTTGTTCGACCCGTGGCCTGTGTCGCCTAGACCGCTTTGATCTATTTCTTCCTACCAAAAGGGCTCCAGCGGTAACTCTCAGCTCGAGCGAGTCTTGAAGTTGGCAGTAGAATGCCAGGTCTGGTCTCCCGGTTAGACCTTGCTTCCAATCCTTTTTCCAACCGCAACCACCTGTCGTAACGTGCGCGTGCTAGTCTTTCTCTGTTCTGTTACTTCGCAACTGCTAACCTTTTGGCCGTTTCTAGTTGACTTATTTATCACGCCACACTGGCAGGGAGACTCGGAGAACGTGGTGAAGGAAGTGGCTGATTATTGTGAGCTACAAAGCGGCTTACAATTTTCGGAGTAAGCGCTGACTGTCGTGCAGTCCAAGTCAGTGATCCCAAACTTGACCAACCTCCTTCCTTATACTGCCTATTTTCCCTTCTGTTTCCCTCGATTACTTCCCTCCTCCTCATACGCCTGTCACGGTCTTGCACGTTTTGACACGACTTGCCGTTGCTGCCCTTGCAACGCTTGTCGTAATCGCTGGAGATGCATTCGACCAGATCGAAGTCGAAGACGGGACTGCCAGTTTTATGACCCAGGCCTCGGTGGTATTTTACAGCTGGTTGATGCAGTCGACACTCTACTCTGCTCCGCCTTTCCTTTCCTTTTGGCAAGAAAATTGTATTAATTAACGACATTGAGTCAATGCCCATTCCTGGACAGTCCCTCGCCCTTTCCTTCCACACCCGACGCTCACCTTCATACCGTGTCTGTTTTTTAAAACACTGTTTACTTGCCGGCCGGCCGGCCCCACGTAAGTCTCCTTGCCAGTCATTTAAATGCTTTAACCGAAGTGATCAAGTTATTCTTTCCTTTTTTGCTTCCACCTGCAGCCTGGATGGCGTCCCAGCTTCCACACGTTTCCGAGACTGCGAGCAAGTCAGTATTTCCTTCTTCCGCTATTATTCTCTCTTATTCATACTCTTTCAGCCCTGTGACTGGCGTCGACCAGACTCTGCTCATCGCTGGTAAGACCTCCCCTCTGGTTTTGTCGCACTTCAAGTCAGCCCTCCAGACAATTTACGTCTGAAAGAGTCCTGCGATATCATGACGGGCGAATGCCGCGACCTGCGCAACGAACTTGAAGAGGCCCGCATTGCGCGGACCCAACTCCAAGCTGGTTATGATCGGCTCGCTGCTCTTCATCTCGCTCAAGACCAAACCAATGCTCGCCTTAGCACCCAAATCTTCAAACTCGAGACCGAAGCGGTCCACCACGAAAAAACCTCCTCGGCCTTAGACCTGGAACTTGTGGCGCTCAAGACGCAACGCGACCGCTCCCTCACTCGTATGACAATGGCGATTCGCGAGCTCGCAAGTAACAAGGCGCTTACCGCTCGAAAGGATCGGGCTTTGACCGAGTTGGATCGAGACCTGGTCGCTATTCGGATGCAAGCATTGAGCGTGCGCGATGCTCTCCAGAACCTGCTTGCCAATATCGGCTTGGCCGTTGCTGAGGACGAGGATGACGAGGAGGATGATGTCGCTTCTTCAGATCCGATGGAACATTAGTACCAGATATGCATACTATCGGACCGTCAAATGTAGACTGGCTTTCTTCACATGAATCGCAAATGCGTTATAATTTGGACCGTTCAATTGAAGGCCGATATCATAGGTACATACAACGATTTTAGTACAAGGCGATTAAGATATCAAAGCTTGACTTGGGTACCGCAGTATCCGCAATTTGTATGTCCACTGGCACATGGCCCCGCCATCTCCCTTGACAGACTCTGAGCGCTGACAACAGCCTGCGCCCGAGAAATTTCCTGCTCGATGTGGTGACTTTTTTTCGCCGCCAAATTTACTTGGTGTTGGAGTAAGTCGAGATATAGCACTGTTTCGTGGAGTCTGAGCTCGATGGTAGCCTGTTCGTACAATACGACCCGCTGTTGGGCCTGCAGCAAATGTTGAACCCGGTCGGATTGCACGGGAGTTGCCTCGATTTCCAATGTCCAGCCCCGGTACTTTTACACTCTACTGAGGATTAGTAAAACTCAGGTTTGTACTCTTGGAATTCACCATAGTTTCACTATCACTTATTTCATCGGGTGGGGATACACAGGCAGACGGACTGTCTTCGATATTCACTGTTTCCGCTGGCCCCATAACGCTTTCTACCGACTCTCCCTGGCTAATATTCCAAAATGTGGTTCGGAGATACGAGGCGAATGCAGAAGAGATGGCTCCTCCCGCAGTGTGAGGGGGCGTTCATAAAAACCAGTGATCACGCGACGCTGATGGTATCAGCGTACTGCCACATCATACGTTGGCTTCGACCCTCACTCACTTTCGAGTCAAGTTACCGGAAGTTTGCCATGGCGAGTCTCCCAAGTCGCGTTTCTGCTGCTTATGGAGTGCCCGCCTTATCTGGCTCATTAAATCTTGGTTGACAGCTCGTTCCGGCTGCACGTGTAGGCAACCCTGAAAACTCAAAATTGCCACTTTGGGAAACTCAAGTCGTGAGTGTCCTGCCTGCACAATTTCTGTTTTGTACTTCATGTTCTCAGGTATGAAACCATTCATAACTACACGCCATGCTAACCATTCTATTAGATTTCGACGCCCAAGCGCACTTCGCTGCCGCCGCGGACTTGGACAACTCCAACGATGTAGATCTCCCCTACTACTCGAATGATTACGCTCACTCCCCTGGACGACGGTTACAACAATCCATTCGATACACAGGTTAATTATGCGCCCTACCTGCTTGTTCTCAGAGCTCATGCGCTTCAGTTTGATTCAGAGCAAGTTCTTGCATCGCAATTCACGTTCGAGCCGGTATCGCGTTCCCCATCGCCAGACTGGCTATCCAGATCGTCTTCGACCTTGCCACTTGCTGGCTCGTCTCCACAGACGTCTTCTGTACACCCCAATACGTCTCCTACACCGATCTTCTCCAATATTCCCCCGGACGACTCTTGCGCAATCACTCTCGTGGGCGACGCGTCTTTGATGCAAAGTCACGCGTCCATCTCCACATCCACCGTCCATGAACACATCTGCGCCTCTGCAACAAATATGTCATCGTCCTTGGGCGTGTCTGAGCCATAGCTGTAATATATATCAAACATGACCCGGCAGCTGTCAGGCCATTCAATTACAAAGCTTCTGTGAGCAGCCAGGCTCTGGCAGCTGCCAAATAGGTGATATATCACTCCGTCACCAGCGCAATCACACGGACCACGGGTGCCAGTCAGGCAATCACAGTTAATCAAATTGTGTTTGTTGGTCCCAATCTCTTACACTTTAGGTCACTTCTGATGTTACAAACAATAGTCGAGCATGCCCAACGACTGCCATGATCATTCTTATTCTTCATCTAAAAAATTGACTACCTTTGATTTGAATCGCGAATTCGACAGAGCAGAAACAACTTAAATCAGTCCTAGTAAAACATGACGAATTCTTTCACAACTTCACTCGACATTCTTACTATTTACACACAACTACAGTTTACGACAGAGCAGAAACAATTTAAATCAGTCTCAGTAAAAAAACAACAAGTTTGACGAATTCTTTCACAACTTGACTCGACATTCTCACTACACAAACCGCGACTACACTACAGTTTACGTTTTCCCTTCTTGCCTTGTCCATTAGCTTCCTGCTGCTGCCAGTCAGCGCGGAGTCGGATAATCTCTGTGGGAGCATCTTTGACAAGATTTTCCAGCACCCAGGTCACCTCCGCAGTTGCCTCCTCCCACAACTTCGACAAGGGCAGCTTAGCTAAACTAAGCTCATGTCCCCACCACCCAAGGGTTGCAACGATGACTGACATTCCGCTCTTGCCTGGCAAGGCAAGATCTCCCCAACTTCGACCATCCGATGCCACCCGCAAAAGTTCTCCGGCGGGTCCCTTGCGCCAGGTGGGCTGACGTCGAGTCCACCAAGCTCGCCATTGGGTCGAAAAAAACAGCCACATCCTTAATACGAATGTCATCGTTGGCCGCCGTCCACTTCCGAGCTCGTTTGAACCAAGCCGCAACCTGGCTAGGTCGATCAACATTAGACAGTGATGCTTGTTTGTCTATCCAGCCATAGGCCCTTTCTAGTTGCCCCAGCAGTCGCAACATGTGATGATATTGCGGGCCCGCTTCCATCCTAATCAACTCGTTGTGTAGATCGTGGAACCATGCAGGCGCATCAGTTGGGGGAAGAGGTTGATTTCCAACGGGAGGAGGCGGTTGCGAGCCGACAGGAGGAATTGGAGGCGGCGGCGGCGGTTGCATGCCAATAGGAGGAGGAACAAGTTGACTTCCAACGGGAGGAATTGGGGGGGTTGCGAGCCGACAGGAGGAATTGGAGGCGGCGGCGGCGGTTGCATGCCAATAGGAGGAGGAACAAGTTGACTTCCAACAGGAGGAATTGGGGGCGGTTGCGAGCCGACAGGAGGAATTGGAGGCGGAGGCGGCGGTTGCATGCCAATAGGAGGAGGAACAACTGGATTTTCAACGGGAGGAATCGGAGGCGGTTGCGAGCCGACAGGAGGAATTGGAGGCGGAGGCGGCGGTTGTATGCCAATAGGAGGAGGAACAACTGGATTTTCAACGGGAGGAATCGGAGGCGGTTGCGAATCCGGCATCATAGATTTCCCCTTTTTCTTCTCCCTCCGAGCTCTATTAGCAGCCAACGATTGCGACGACTTGATGTCGGAACCTTCAGAGGTCTCGATATCACTACCTGACTGCTGTCGTTTCCTTTTCTTGGAAGTAGTGGCTGATTTGACCTGGGCCTCGCCCAGCGATGCCGCGCTTTTGTTGGCTTTCTTGACAGTTGGCGCCTTCCTCGAGGTTGAAGCTTTGGCTTTTGTCGAGGGTGTTGGCTTCTCTTGAGCCTTCTCCTTTGCCTTCTCCTTTGCCTTCCTTCCCCTTCCCCCCTCCTTTGCCTTCTCCTTCCCCTTCCCCTCCTTTGCCTTCTCCTTCCCCTTCCCCTTCTCCTTTGCCTTGACATCACGCTTTTTACGAAGGCTGGACGTGACTTCGTCATCACCACTGTCAACGCTGCCCTCATCATCGCTGCTGCTACCGTCGCTGTCGCTGTCGGACTCGTCCAAGTCTGACTCGGTAACTTGGAGGAAGTCGACATGCTGGGTTTCGTCATTCATAGAGATCAACCCATCTAATACGTCTGTCTTCTCAGGCAGAGCGGCATCGGCCTTTTGCTCTTCAGCTGCATTACAATTTTAACACTAACTCAACCACGATGAAGCCAAACTCACTGAAGGCTGTCTCCAGATACTCCATCCAAAAGTCGATCATTTTTTGGAATCGCTCCTTGTCCCAAGCAGGCCACGGCACTGGGGAAGGTGCCTGGTTCGCCCGAGTAGGTCCTGGTATAATCAGTCATAATTTTATCAGACCGATCACACAACTCACGACTTAGTCCATATACGGCCCCCGAGCGAGGGCCTGGGTCCACCAATCATGCAAAAGACATGACATCCGGTGAACTCGGCAAGTCGCATAGCAATCCCCTAAAAGAAGTTTTGGAATTCCTCGATACACCTGTCCTTCATTAGAACTAATAGACTCGCACGTATGGAAGGCTCACCGCTCGGAACTCGGGCGTCGTGGGCACTCCGTCCTTCTTAAACTTGGCGAATTCTTTTTTCTTCTCTGCGACATCTGCCTGGGCTCGATCCTTCAATGCTTGTATTGCTTCTTCAACCATTTCGGCAAGAATGGGTTTCACCACTTTCGCTCAAACGGCGCGTCGATGGTCACCTTACGGCCAGTTGCCGCCTCTTCTTTGGCTTTCTCTTCTTCATATTTGGGCCGCAACTCTTCTTTGTTTTTCGTGCATGTATTGCTGAGCAGCTGAGCGCTTTCGCTGGTTTCGGGGCGCAGTCCATCTTGTAAAAGAGCCGGGTATAAGGACTATCAAGGTCGGGATGTGAATATTTGCCACGGAGATTCCTCGCGTGGTATTTTAGATACCGCGAGATACGCTATACAACAGCATCAACTAGACTGGACAAGCTGATAGAAGGACGCGGTAAACCTTGTTGTCAGATTTAATCTTCTCCTGCATTAACTGGGTGTCTTCGGTTGACAATTTCTCGACAGGATGTGGAGCGAGAGGATTGAAAGGCGGTAAGGGATCCGGAAGGTCAGGCTCTTCGTGGTCCTCCAGCCGCCAGTGGATGCGGGCGTGATACTCGTTGCAGACTTGCTGAATGAAGTCGCGATTTTTCCTCCAGTCTAGTGACAGTGCCAGCGCATAGCGCTGAACGTGAGGTTGTAGAATACGCGCTCGGACGCCCTCCGCCCAAAATTTCTTGTTTTTGCGGTCTTTCTTGTTCATGCGCTGAAACTTCTTATTCGTCTTTGTGACGGTCATCTAACAAGCAGGTTAGGATACTCTCGTGAGCAAGTTGTTGGCATACCGCTCGTGCAAACAAGGACTGGAAGAAGCAAGCAAGGTTGTTGTTTTTTGCAAGATGCCGATTTCTGGCACCTGCCACTAGCAAACATCAACAAACATCTGCAAATAATGCAATCGTCGGTCAAGATGACCAACTGGCTGCCGCTTGTTGTGAAAAGCAAATCAATCTTGAGCCCCTGCTTGGTATGTATTTTGCGCAGTAGCTAGGGACGGTCGCCAGGAAAGCACGTCGTAAAGAATAAGAGCAAACGTTGATCAAGAACCTCGCCACGGCTGCCGGTAGAACGGCTGACCGAAACAGACGCGAACTATCAGAAACCCCCACACAGTTGCTGGTCAAGTAGTTGCGAAGTAACCAACGACTAACTAGGGACGGTCGCCGGTAAACTGTAACCTCGCCAAAGCTGCCGGTAGAACGGCTAGCCACTGCTCGGTATCTATTTGCGACCACCGTCTAGCTAGAGCCAACCTCGCCAGAGTCAACCTCGCTACGGCTGCCGGTATAACGGCTAGCCACTCATTGTGTACGAATGCAAGAGGTACAGAATCGAATCGAATCAGATCGAATCCGTGACCATGTTACAGTGTGACCATCTACCTTCTGAGCAATCTTAAGTCGCCTTTGGGCCGTGGCAGCACCCAGTGTCTGGCAGCTCCCACACCGTCCAAGTCAGCTGTTGCAACAGCGACAGGCTAACCATGGCACCCAGCTCCAACCCGACAGCACCCACAGTCTGGCAGCTCCCACGGCCTTGACAAAGTCAGCTGTTGCAACGGGCGACAACCGTGAAAACCCTGACAGCACCCACGGTCTGGCAGCTCCCATAGCCTTGACAAAGTCAGCTGTTGCAACGGGCGACAACCGTGAAAACCCTGACAGCACCCACGGTCTGGCAGCTCCCATAGCCTTGACAAAGTCAGCTGTTGCAACGGGCGACAACCGTGGAAGTCCTGGCAACCAATCAGCTGGAGGTGACAGCAGCCAGTCTCTGGCTCTGGTCATTGCACCAACGAACCCACGACGGGGTTGGGTTTGCTCGTCTCTGTGGTCCGCGGCTATGACAGCGATCAAACATACGCTGACTCATGCCCTCCAAAACTTCCGTCCGCGTCCTCTTTTCCACGATTCTGGCTCGCCGTCGAGCTAGCGCCAGGTACAGAACCAGGTGTGTAAGGCAACAAACATCTCCGCTTCAACTTAATGTCGAAAAGGAATCCTGAACTTGTTCGGCAGAGGACACGGGAGAGGATGGCTCGGTGGGTTCCTATCTCTAACTTTTTCGTGCACTCAGCAGATATATGCAGTCGACGATCAGAGCGCACTGCTAGCGAACGCGTGGCAGACCGCGAAAGGGCCAAGCTCACTGGCCAAAATTACCGAGCCTTGTCCGTCTGACTCCGTCAAAAGTATCCAAGCGTGCAAATTCCTAACTATTCTAGACACCGAGAGAATATCACTAAAAAGCAGCGGGCTGCCAGGCTAAGGTGAACAACGAATCACATATTGCTCCACACCAATACCTCTTCAGACGAGACGAGGCCAGATGCGGAGCGACATCGTGGAAACCGAGCTGCGACTGAGACGGAGAATATCGCTTATAAGCTGCAACTCTTCTTCTTCACTCAGATAATGTATTTGTTCCTATCGATAGACTCTTTTTATTAGA